GGCTCTCCCAGGCCAGGACAGCTACTGGATGAGCCTGGGTATAATATTAAGAATTAGTATAGGTAATAGCATGATTTGCAGTGATATTTGGCATAAATACCACGAATGATATTTCAATATTGTTATACGTGATTTCACGAGCCGTTTAGGTGAGTGAAATTTGAGACAATTTTGAAATATCACCAGTGGTATTTACGCCAAATATCGTGTACAAATCATGTTATTATTTGTTTATACTTCTACCCGCAAAAGGTTTGCAATTTTATATGTACGTATTTCAAATTAAGCTGAAATACCAGGGCTCTAAGGCAATCTAATTGCAAAAATTTCTCCTGTAGTAGTATAAGTATTAAAATAAACAACTGAAGAGAGCTCTTATATAGCAATTTAAGAATTAGACAGCTTATTCATTCTTAAACAGCCTTTTAAGAGCGACTGACTGTAAATATCGACCAAAATCGACTTTTTGTGGCACAAGTTCAAAATTCGAACTTCGCTCATTTTTGGTTCATCGATAACCCTTAAGGAGTAATGAAACGTGCTGTTGTTAGTTTTCTCAAATAACGTGTTCTTTTGTCAAAATTCGAGAAAAACAGTTTTGCCACGTTCGGAGCTGAAAATCCACATCCGGTAAAGCGAAATTTTACCCAAATTTCATTGACTCGTATTTTGTATTCTGAAGGATTTTAGAAGCGAACAATGAGGAACAAATAAACATACGTGCGTATACCAAGAACATATCTGGCAACTGTTTATTTCACCTTCTTACATCATCTTACATCACGTGACCAATACTACAAAAATACCACATTTCTTCCTTCCTATACATTTTTCGTAACAATCAACACAACTTACAAGGAAAAACTATAAATCTAATCTGTCTGGACGCTTGATCACCCGTCCTGAACGAGTAAACCACTTGGCATGGTCTGGACTCAGAGTGACTAGGCATGACAGGTTTTAGTAACCACTTGGTCTGGACTGCGAAGTCCACAGTTGTCACGGCTCTCTACGTTACTATCATCATCAACAACAGGTATAGCAATAACACTAGACTTACGAGAAATCTCATTGTCTACTTCAGACTGAATTCGTAACCTTGTTTCGGGAACGACAGGTTCCCTCTGAAAATCTAAGGGTGGGTTATACTCTACCATTCCTGGTGTAACGATTTCCTTATGGGCACTCATGCCTCTGGCATCATCAGGAATCAAGTGGTTAGCATGCACATAGCGACGATCATTACAGTCAGGTCTCTTAGTGCAAAATATGGGCCGGATCGTTACAGACGTGACAAAAGTGTCAAATTTGGCACAGTTTCCTTAGCACCTGCCGATTAATACTGGAGGGGGGTGCCCGTTACAAATGGTCCTAATTACAGATAAAGGGGGGTTAACTTTCACCTATTATAGCAGATTGGGTTCCCTGTGGCTAAGAAACATTTGTTTCAAATTTTTAAGTTTTTAATCTGGTAATGTTTAGTTGTTGTTACACTAATCAAAATAGCTTTACATGTACAAAATACTGACTAGTGCCCAGTCTCCACGCGGTAAGTTTGGCCATGTTCACTGTGTGGCTATCATTGTCACTGCTAAGACTTGCCAGTGATAATATCATTTCATATCAATTTAAACAGATCACAAAGCCAGCTTTCAAAGATGTCATACGACAACATAAAACCCAAATGTATCACATCTTATACGATAGAATGGTTACATTTTGACATGCCACATGAACGACCTCATAAACCGTAACTGACAACGGGCCCATTTTGTAATTGTGGAGCTAAGATTAGATTATAATTTGCTTCGTCGGTAACCCTGTCCTTGAGATAATGATTAAAACATGTCAACCTCGTCTTCAGGAGGAAAAGGAGGAGCAAGGGTGGCGCAGTTGGTTAGTGCGCAGCCTTCGGTCCACGAGGTCCCGAGTTCGATCCCCGTTGTCAACACAAACGTATTTCAACTTCTCCTCTTTCTGTGTAGCTTTGACTAGCTTTAAATACCCTTAAAACGGAGCATTAATGGAGAGAGGGGGGTAAAAGGATCGCACCGTCGACCTCAAGTTTATCAGTTATTATTACTGTCACGAGTTATTGACGTAAAATATGGTCGCTTTACCTTTTTCTACCTTTTTATTAAGCCCTGGGGACGAGGTTGTAAAGAATTCCTCTCCAGGAATTTTTAACACTCTTTATTTTTTGCACATTTGTATTTTAAAAGAAGTGTATTAGGTCCCTGCATGCCTAGACACCTGTAATTAGCTCATTCACTTCAGAGTAGGAGCCCTCGCACCAGAGTGTTAATGGTAGGTTTATAAGATCTTTCAAAAAAAGGAAGGTCGTCGCGTGCGTTACAATTTACAAACAAACTAACCTCAGAAGAGCTGAAAGTTACAGGAACAAGGCCTCTTTTAGCCAACCAATGATGCATCATCTATGAAAATGAATGTAATTTGTTTGATGCAATTAGGCAAATACCCCGTGGTTACGAAATCTTACGATCATCAATTCCTCAAGAGCAATTCAGTAACCAACTTTTCACAAAATAATGCTGTGGAAAATTACAGAAAATACCAAAAAAAGCAAGGGTCAACAATAATTATGGCCTGGTCCCTTACAATAATGGCGTCGTCATGATAAAGAAGCCCATCAGCCCCAACTTTGACCACTCAAACAGATTTCTGACAGATTACATACCGCAAAACTTTGCATTCACTTATGCCTATGTTGCCACACCAGGAGCCTAGAAATCGGCTCCTGGTCACACTTTGCTTTTATTGCTGAATATCATTCTAAAGACCTTAAGAAATATTTTGTTAGTAGGGGTGTTTTGAACATGATTGAAATTTAGAGATGGTGACAAAAACGAACGCAAATAAAGTTACAAAACGAGACGCATGAAACAACCGCAATGTAATATTCGTTATACACCGATATAATGGCTCCTTTGGCTGCTATGCTGACGTTTTTAAAGATGGAAGTAGTATCACAGCTAGTCCCGGGTTTGGTATACCTTTTATTACGAGTTTCACGGTTCCTGAGACTTAGGGCCTTTTAACATAAAGGTGGGGGAACCCAGGTAGGTGAGGTAACCTGCTAAGGTGGGGTAAAAAAATAACCCTCCTTTACATGCAATCTTACAACCCCCACCATCCTCAAGATTATTGAATGGTTGAATGGTCGCTAAGCACGTAAACAAGAAAAATGCTGGCAAACTACGTCTATGCTCACTTGCTGCTCTTGCTGCAACCTTCAGTGTTGTGGCTTTCTATTGTTACCTATAACAATTATGTGAAGACACCCGGCGCCAAAGTGAATTTTGCGCGAATTTGATGTATTACGAATCCGACCCCAACTAGCCTGGGTTACCTCACCTTGAAACGTTGACATGGCAAAATTTGACCTCAGCTGAGAGGGTTGCCCGGTGTGGCAGATCGGGCCATCCGCTCTGAAGGGTCACCCCACCTATCATGTAAACGTGATCAAATTAAAATGAGAGATTATATGGACAGGCGGGTTACCCCACTTAAGTGGGTTACCATGCCTACCTGGGGTTCCCCTCGTCTATGTAAACAGGCCCTAATTGTTAGCCCGGCCCCCTTTGGCCCCCAATTTGTAACATTACTCCTTTTGGCCACAAAAATATTCCAGCTTTCACAAATGTATCGTTTTATATGGAAGAAAGGGTCATAAAACTTTTCGTGATCTTCAAAGACTGCCAAATCGTTGTAGTTTGAAGTAGGAGTCAATGTCGCGTTACCGGAAGTGGATTTTCAGCTGGGAACGGTCAAAATTAATAATTATTCTCGAATTTTAACAAAAGAGCGCGTTAGTTGGGAAAAGTTACATTAAGGGTCATCGATTAGCCAAAAATGAGCGAAATCAAATTTTCAACTTGTGCCGACCGTGGGTCGATATTTACAGAAAGCCGCTCTTAAGAAGTATCGCAAATAAATTGCCCAAAAGCAGTTCATTAAAATATTTTGTTTACTATCAAAAAATTGTACTCAATTTGAAGTGATTACAAATGCTATTCAGTTCAACACTGAGTTCAAATAGCTTCAAATTAAGTGTGTCAGTATAAAGTGAAGTGAAACTGCTGATTAAAACTGCCTCTTTCAAAATTGTAGAATTTGTTCAATACTACCAACAACGATTTGTTTTATCCTCCCTTTGCTTTCGATTTGACGACAACGGTTGAGGAACAGATTTCTGGGTCACAGACTGAATCTAACGTCGATTAATGACGTCTGTGAAGCAGACCCGAAATCCCTGTTCATGTAGAGTTTTGCTTTATAGTGGAGTCTAGAAAGAATTTTTCGATCCTCCTTTTAAAAATAAGAATTCATTATTTGTTTCGGTATTCCACTGGCTTGGTATATACTAAAACAGCTATTCACCTCAGTGCGGGTGGAACTGGAGGATATTTACCTATTAACTATATAACAACTGAATTATTCGCCGAGCCAAGAAATGTCGCTCCTCTAAATTTTAGGGCAAGAATTGAGAACAACTTTAGTCATAACGTTTTTCCGCTGGACAACTTTAAATGAACAAAAATATTATTAAAGGAGATTTCGTGAGCAGCTGTACAATAAGTGGCATAAGGAATAAATCTCGTTAAAGGCACATTAAAATATAGTAAGAAGCGAAAGAAAAAAGCACATGAAGATTGTAACACGGCGGCGAAATTTGAACTTCGAACCTCAGCTAAGGCCCAACCGATAGGCCACGTGTCCAGACACCATATTCGTGTGCAATGGGTCCACGCGCGAATCCCACGCACGCAAATAGCTGAAATAGGGTAGCTATAGATTTGGACAAAATTTTATAGTCACTTCCCGGATAATTACACAAATTATTCAAGATCCTAATTTCAAGCAAATTCAATAACGAATATGTTAATCAGCAGTGGCTTTTAAATTTCAATGACCGCATGTAATCAGTGTCTCAACAGATTTATTTTGATTTTCATCTTGCAGACTTCATTTGTGAAGTCATGACACAACTACTGGAAAAAGGTCTTGGGCTCGGGGAAGGTAATAACAACGTAAAATAAGGCACAAAATAACTAGTAGTCTCTAATCAGGTGTCTAATAGAAAATGCCTTTGTTATGTTATGAGAATCGGACTGTATGTGATTTAACACAACAGAGATTTTTGACTTTATGCAAGAGGGAATGGCTGTTACACACAAAATAATAAAATATAAAACTTTAATAATAAAAAATATTATTCATGACAACAGTGACTCTTTCATTTCAGAATGTACTCTTGTCATAATCCAGTTAAGCAATTCCTCACGACTTTTGTGCTTGATAGCCATGTAAATGTGTTATGACATTAATTTGTTCACTCGGGTCTTTTATAGCATCTATCCTATATTTTTTATCCTCGTATATACAGAAAATGCTCAGTAAACACTCTTTCGATTCTAATGGTTGTTGAAGTATATTCTGAGTCCTCGCGCAGGTTAAAATAAATTGAAGCTTTAAGAATTAATTATTACTTTAATTTACTTTTTAGGAGAAGAAACAGGACTCCCCTTCTCCCCAGAAGCTATAAGTGAGTGGATGTGCAGAAGTTATCAGGAGACAGACAAATCCTGTTACGTTGCCAAAGACAACCTTTTTAGCGATGCCGTCGACTACTTTAAAGTTCAGGATAACACAGTGGAGAAGAGACATTTTTTCGAAACACTAGGTCGCTATGTCTTTGGAAAACACCCAAACTTCATGTCAATCAATCTTAAATCGAAGAAACAAATAAGAGGACTGAAAAAAAGGGAAAAATCACAGACATCAGGCAATGCTACGACGGAGTTAAAAAGGATCGGGACAGATGCACAGAAGGACGATCCCGGGAAAAACAGAATAGATCTTAAGGCACCAGGAATGACAGATAAACAGAAAGAAGGAAGCAGGGAAGATGATAGGAAATTGAAACAAACTTGCGAAAACGCGTTGCAAATAACATGTGAAGAGATGGAAAGTAACAAAAAGGATAAACCAGAACTGGAAAAACAGAGAAGTGAACACCAAGAGGAACAGAATGCAACGGAAATCATGAAAAGTGAAGAGAAGGGCGGAAGCAGGGGAAATGAAATAGAACAGAAAGAACAAACTTGTGAAAACTCAATGGAACAGAATGAAGCAAAACTGAAAAGTAAAGAAAAGAACGGTGGCAAGGAAGATGAAATAGAAATGAAAGGACAAATTTGTGAAAACTGTATGGAACAGAATGAAGCAGAAGTGAAAAACGTAGAAAAGAGCGATGGCAGTGACGTTGACATAGAACTAAATGCTCAAGTTTGTGAAAACTCAGTGGAACAGAATGAAGCAGAAATGAAAAGTGAAGAGAAGAGCGGTGACAGGGAAGATAAAATAGAACTGAGAAGCCAAATTTGTGAAAACGCCATGGAACAAAATGAACCAGAAATGAAAAGTGAAGAGAAGAGTAGTGACAGGGAAGATGACGGAGAACTGAAAGCACAAATTTGTGAAAACTCCATGAAACAGAATGAACCAGAAATGAAACGTGAAGAGAAGAGTATTGGCAGGGAAGATGAAGTAGAACTGAAAGCACAAATTTGTGAAAACTCCATGGAACAGAATGAAGAAGAAGTGAAAAGCGTAGAAAAGAACGGTGGTAGGGAAGATGACATAGAACTAAAAGGTCAAGTTTGCGAAAACTCATTAAAACAGAATGAAGCAGAAATGAAAAGTGAAGAGAAGAGCGGTGACAGGGAAGATAAAATAGAACTGAGAAGCCAAATTTGTGAAAACTCCATGAAACAGAATGAACCAGAAATGAAAAGTGAAGAGAAGAGTAGTGGTAGGGAAGATGAAATGGAACTGAAGGCACAAATTTGTGAAAACTCGATGGAACAGAATGAAACAGAAACGAAAAGTGAAGAGAAGAGTATTGGCAGGGAAGATGGAATAGAACTGAAAGCACAAATTTTTGAAAACTCCATGGAACTGAATGAAGCAGAAATGAAAAGTGAAGAGAAGAGCGGTGACAGGGAAGATGAAATAGAACTGAGAAGCCAAATTTGTGAAAACTCCATAGAACAGAATGAACCAGAAACGAAAAGTGAAGAGAAGAGTACTGGCAGGGAAGATGAAATAGAACTGAAAGCACAAATTTATGAAAACTCCATGGAACAGAATGAAGCAGAAATAAAAAGTGAAGAGAAGAGCGGTGACAGGGAAGATGAAATAGAACTGAGAAGCAAAATTTATGAAAACTCCATGGAACAGAATGAAGCAGAAATAAAAAGTGAAGAGGAGAGTACTGGCAGGGAAGATGAAATAGAACTGAGAAGCCAAATTTGTCAAAACCCCATGGAACAGAATGAACCAGAAATGAAACGTGAAAAGAAGAGTAGTGGCAGGGAAGATGAAATGGAACTGAAAGCACAAATTTGTGAAAACTCGATGGAACAGAATGAAGCAGAAATAAAAAGTAAAGAGAAGAGCGGTGGCAGGGAAGATGAAATAGAACAGAAAGAGCAAACGTGTGAAAACTCAATGGAACAAAATGTGGCAGAAAGGACCTGTGAAGAGGAGGATTATAGCTTGAGAGATGAAACAGAATGGGTTGACCCGTATGAATCAAATGGTACAGATGTTGAAAACACCTATCGGACCATGTATGCTACTAAAATTTACTGTAATGACAGCAGGGACCCTGAAGATATCAAGAACATCCTAAAACAACCCTACACTATTGCCAGTGCTAAGGATATGTTTTGCAACAAGGCACTGCTGACTAGCAGAATATGGAACAATGCAAATATCAGAGATCTATCACCTCAGGAGTTCCAGTGTCAGAACTTTGAACAGTATTTGTTTTTTTCCGTTCCCAAACCACTGCCGCGTGTGAATAGTGAAAAACGAATGATGATATACAAGTCCTCAGCCCCTACAACAAGTCAGTTAACGAACTGCCTGAGAGCATTTTTAATCAAGGCCTTCCCACCAATCGCAGTATGCTGTGCTGCGGCGAAAGATTTTAATAGCTTAACGTTTCCTGGTGATGTCCTGCCACAGTTCAGTAGTACATGTCACAACTCTGTGAGGAGTAGAAACCGATTCTCAATACAGTGTGTGGTGTGCCCTCTGTACCAAGATAAATGTACAAGACAAGGCGTGTTTTCGAAATTATCGTGTAGTGGAGATCTAGATGGAATCTCTCAGACCATAGTGCATCATAAATCCCAGCTGCACCAATCAGCGTTAGCGTACTTCAGTGGCTCTTCCACAACTGTTACAACAGCACAATCAAGCCCCAGTGGCAAAGAAACACGCCAGAAAACGATTTTCCAGGCCCTGAAAGTGGATGAACCCAATACTAAGGTTACAAATTGTCTTGGCTTCTTTGAAAACCAAGAAATAGTAGAATCCCTCAAAGACAGTGCAGGCATAAGACGTATGACAGCCAAGAGCTTGTTTATTCGACAAAGAAGCCAGGGAAAATTCCACTGCTTTTCCCAAGCTGGACATGAAAAGTGTGTCAACTGGGCGGGATGGAAAGAAAGGCATCCTGAGGAAGCGGAACAGTTGAGGAACAGCAGATCAAGTAGGGCAGCATATATAACAGTTAACAAAAAAGTTTATCTGGATGGAAAAAGCATTTTCATCAATGCAGCAATCAAGAGCCTAGATCCTCTATGTTTAGGTAAACCAAGTGGAAATATCAACCATCCGTTCACCTGTGATAACTGCTACAAACTCAGGCATTACCTGATCGATCTGCAAAAAAAAAGGTCTCAAGCAAAACTGAAAGTGGAGGAAGAAGGAAGAGTTGGAAAAAGAGGTTTTCGCTTAGATTACGCAACGCAGACAGAGGTAAAGGAAAAACTGAATCTTCTTACCTCGCAGAAAAAGAAGTTGGAGGAAACGATCGTAAAGATAAATCCAAAACGAGACGAGCTCAGCTGGGAGGAAATGCTACATAACAGCTGTAAGCATGATTATCAAGAAAAGTTAATTGTCGACCTTCTTGCACTGTTTAGAGAGGACATAGACACAAAGAAACCAATACAAGTCACAGTTCTAACCAACCTTGTGGGAAAATTAAAAGGAAATGTCAACCACAAGTACGTTCCACTTATAAAGATGATTGCCAAATTGCACAAAACAAGACTTGGAGAGACAAACTTCGATTTAATGAGTGTAAGTATGTTAGTTCTGTACAGAATTTCACCCAATCGCATATTAAGCTGACGTTGCACATCCTTAATTTAAGTCCCTGGCCCCGGTTGTTCAAACGTTGGATAGCGCTATCCAGCGGATAAATCACTAACCAATTGCACTATCCACTGGATAGAGATTTATTCACCGGATAGTGCTATCCACCTTTTGAACAACTGGGGCCTGATGGATATAATCGAAACAAATTTATTTGGTAGGGAAACCCGTCTCAGTTATCAGTACTTCGCTGCGTCTATACCCGTCGCTGAACCGTTAATTCCAGCTTTTACCTGACATTTGATTGTGAATGAATGAATTAACAATTTTAAAGAGAAGAGCTCAAAAGTGTTTTTGAACCAAAACGAACACTCCACGGAGAGTGGTGCGGGTTTCCTGTTAAAAGATGTACGAATTTGCAGAATTTGCAGAATTTGCATGAAACAGTCATATATTATTCTTTTTCTTCTTCTTTTTTCAGAGTGTCTTTGGCCTTCCATGTAGCACTACCTGTGACAATTACATGCTCAAAAAAAAACTCCAGCCAGGCTTTAACGTTGATATTATACAACAAGCAGCTTCTCTTTACAATGGTGCGCCAGTGATCGAAGCTAGTGACGAAGCACGTGCACTCCGGTACATTTCCTTTATTTTTTTTACCGTGATTTGAATAGCTTAATCATATAATGGGATCTCTAGGTTTAAAAACCTTAACAGGGTGAAACGTGAATATGATTTTCATCACGTACTGGATTAGATAACAATCATCGATCAATATAAAGTATAGGCTTAAATTGCATTGTCTCATTCAATGAGTAACTATGCTAATGTATCTCTATGCAGGGATGGTAAAATTTAACTCAAGGATCAATGACTTTGCCTTGTTTTTTCCCTGCTGTTCTTCCGAATTTGTTCATATTAAGGGGTTTGAAACACAGCGTGACGAAATCACAAAATAATGACGTTGCTCTAAAAATCTTATTCGGATTTCGTACCCACGTCTTGCACCTTTGAGCACAAATGACTCCCCATTTTTAGGGCAAAGGCAATATGCTTAAGTAGTAAATGCAGTTATATATTTTGTTATTTAAGAAGCTGTACATGTATCTCTCCGTAGTATGAAGCAATACTATTATGTACTTAAGTCAATGTGTACAACATGACCACATTTTTTAAAGTATTCGTAAAACTGATAAGTTACTGTTTCTCTTTTTTACAGGTTTCTTCAGCCCTTTCAAAATGAAGACGGGGAAGTCGTGTTAATTGGTAAATGCTGGAATGCTGATGTTGACAAGTGGGACAATGAGCTTCTTAGAATACCAAAGAAAGATGAGACAAAAGGTAATTACGTAGTAAGCTTCATTTTTAGATCCAGTTGTGCGGAGGAATTTTTGATACCTGTGTTTGGGTACTGTATTTTCAAAGTTGTTGTCTGCAAATAGCAAACAAATTTTTAAATCTTTTTAAATAAAACTGACATGCTTTTGCATTAATAAGTAATAACCTTTTCTTTGAAGGTGACAAAGATGACTTTGCAGCCCTGAAGAGGATGACGGAAGAAATTATTTCCAGCAAGCAGCTAGCTTTCCAAGTTGCTATACACAACTTGTGCAACATGTCCGGAGGAAAATCTCTGCCTCTTGTATACCTTATGTGGCCAACACCAAACAAAGGATACAGTGGCCCCCATCTTCTGAAAATATGGAGTAAAGTAAGAGAAGTCTGTGCAGCAAACAATGTTAACCTTATTGGTCACTCTGTCGACTCAGCCGGTTTTTCCCTCTCAGCATCGGTTCAGCTCATGACACCGACAAAATCTGCAGTTGCTGAAGGTATAAAATACTTAGGCCTGGGAGTTCCAGAAGAAAAATTTCTTTCGCCTTATTTTTGGAAACTCCCAGCAATAGCCTACGGTGATTACGACCATTTGAGAAGAACATTTCTGCGTGTACTTAAATATAACACTCGAAACCTCACATTCTACAAAGATTCACGAGGAAGTGTTGTAGCCACAATCAGTCACCTTCGTGAGCTCATGCGCGTATGTAGCCAGATAGGTCAAAGTTTACCATTTTCAGCCAACGACCTTCTCCTTATAAGTTTCTTTGATCAGCGACCAGACACAGCTAATAGAATCTTCACTCTCAAGGTTGCCGAAATGCTACACAAATACGTCAAGGGGTCGGAGGGAACTTGCCTCTTTATTACTGCTGTACACTTCCTAACTGAACCTTTCTTCAATGCAAGCTACGGGTCTCCAGAAGATATCCAAAAGGCTCTTTCCACTGGAATTACCATCTTACGACTCTGGAAGAGATACCTAGAGATTAAGAAAATGAGACTCCATTCTCAAACAAATGCAGCTAAAATCAAGGAAAGGCGAGGAAATTTTATCACATACGGAGCTTACACGACATCAGAACTACTCTTCTCTGCTGGCACCCTACACTCCTTGGCAATGTATTTACATTTCAAGCATTTGGGGCCTGACGTATATTCGCCACAAAGGTCCGGAACAATTGCTACAGAGAAGATCATTGGACAGCTGCAGGGGAAAACCAATCAAATCCAGTCTCTAGACACGTCACCCACTTATGCTGATATGATCAACAAGACCAAAGATCTATCGTTCGTCACAGAAGCCCTGTCCGAGTTATCAACATATGAAGGAGTAAAAATGCCTGCAACAAGCAACAGGAAATTGTCCCACTTCCAAGCCCAGCAAAGGAACGACACTCCGTATAAGTACCCATGTACCTACAAGGAGTTTTTACTCAGACAACGTTCAATGCACAGGGCTGATGTACATCAGGCCCAGGAGTTCGTGCAAAAATATCTGCCGCAAGAGTTTGAGAGTACGTTGTCAGTAAATGATTTTTGGGACTTGCCTTACACTTTTACAAAACCGGCAGGAACAGTTATCGTATCAGATCAACCACCATCTTATAATAAGTTGAAATTTGTCGAAGATGTGAATTTCCTAAACAGCGTAGCAAATGAGGTAGCCATGGAAAACCTACTTGAGGAAAGTGAGGAACGCGACTTTTTAAAGCATTCTACACAACTTGACGAAATCTACGATGACCAGGAAATGAATTTCTCCACGACCGACATAGTAGAATCAGATGAAGACGACGGACGCAATTCTGAAACATCTAATAGCAGAAAATCAAAATGGTACATCGAGAAGGATGGTTCTCTAATCCATATTAAGAGGGCTTTGAAGTTGTTGATTCCAAGAGAGTTTATCTCAAAAGAAAGAAGCCGCAGACACTGGGTTGCTGATTCTCTCCACACTTCTCTGGTACCCATTGACCCATCTCATGACGTAATTCAGTTCAGAGACGTGGCAATTAGGGATGGTAATGGCTACTTCATTCTTCATATTTTGTCGATCATATCTGAAGATGGAAGAGAGTTGGTCAGCACAAGTTCCAAACGCAAGCACATGATCAGAGGCATAATATACAGAGACGTAGAAAGCAACAAGTATAGATTTGTGAGTACTGTTTTTGTCTCCCGATGGATACCAGTCAGCCACGTTGTTATGGAAGTCGTGCTCGAGAACGGCAGTGATGACCGAGCCCACTTATCTGAACGCAGCCAACTTGACCTGGAATCGATTCTTGCAAATGATGAGTGTAGCGAGGTAGGATTAGAGGAGATTCCCGATGATGCGGACGTCAACAAATTTTATGAAGTTGAAGAAATCATTGATGTTCGTCTAAATCGGCAGTATCACTCTGAGGAGTACAAAGTGCGTTTTCGTGGTTATGGTTCTGAACATGACATGTGGATTCCTAGTTCTGCTTTCCGAGAACCCGTTCAATTCCAAACTGTCTCAAAGAGAGGAAGAGTTCGTAAACACAAAACCAAAGATGAATGTGAAGTCGAGGTTCAGCAGAGGAAACGGCCGAAGCAATCAAATGTAGTGAAAGCAAGTGCTTCTAAAGCAAGTGTTGGAAAGTCTTCTCGAACTACCAAGAGAAAGACAAAATCGTCCACCAAAAATGACGGTAAAAAATTCAGAAAAACCCTCCAGAACCTTTGTCAGAGTGGTAGTGACAGTGGAAGTGACCTGGAAGAATCGCCATCATACGTTCATCGCAAACGAAAGGCTGGAAATGAAACCTCTCTCCAGCTGAAATTTGGAAAGACGCAACAGTTAAATGACAAAATAGGAGTAGATGGAGATTGCGAATTAGATGACGGGCAACGAAAGAAGAAAGTTAGAAGGAAAGAAGAAAGAAAGAATTCAAAAGAAAGTGTAAATTTCATGGTAGAAAAAGAGAACAAATCAGCTAGGGATGTTCGTGGAGATAAGGTTGAGTCATCAGCAAGTAGCAGTCGCGGGTTTTGGGATGTAAAGGGAAAAGGAGATGAAGGCCCATTTCAGGTGTGTACTGGATCATTCCACCAGTCCTGGCATGAAGACTTCCAGTGTCCTGGGCAGCAATGCTCATCAATAGCGCTTACCTCCTTGTTGTATGGTACTATAAAACCCGTAGAGTTTTGGAGACCAAGTGACCTTGATGAAGTCTTACTCACAGGTGATAGGATTCATTTTAATCAGTTGTGTTATCTTGGAAAATCCACTGGTGGTCCGCTCAAGCTCGCGCTTGATGAACTTCCCAAGGACTTGCAGTGCTTTGATTTTCAGTTTTTTACAGAGAGAGAAATTCTAGGCGGGCCAATTGATAAAATCGTCAATTCCCCAGATGACGATGGATTCGCCAGATTAGAAGACATCTTTGAAAAGTGTCAAAGAGAACGAGCTATTGGCTTGTTGCTGCGAATTTTAGACTTCACTATTGCTTGTGCACAGAGTTATGCTACATGGTACGCAATAGATTCGCATGCCAGAAATTCCTGCGGGATGGTGGATGAAAATGGTTCTTCCGTAGTGCTAAAATTCAGCAATTTTAATGCTCTTCTTTATCACCTAAGATCTTTCGTGGAAACAACTACCTCTGAAAGGGACTTAAACATTGACGATTTGACTTTTGAAGCCCTTATACTAAATGTCAATGAACGAATACCCACCGAAAGTCAAGACGTCCTCATCCTTCCTGTGTCAACTCTGTCATCGTATCAGAACAGATTTGGAAATATCGATATACAGAGCTCATTCACAGCATGCCTCGAGAAAGGTCAAGAAATAAAAGACAACGTCCTCGATTTTTATTTACTTCATGCCGCGGAAAATCGGCTACGAGACAATTTGAAGGACTCTCTATATATTTACAATTCTTGCTTTTATATTAAATTAACGCAGTTCAATCCAAAGACGATATTCAAGTGGACAAAAAATACTGACATTTTCTCCAAGAAATATCTAGTGATTCCCATATGCCGTGGTCACCATTGGACTCTTGTAATAGTCAGGACTCATCCACACATTTCCCTGATGATACTGGATTCGCTTAACAAGGAACACAGATCTGTTGAACTAAAGATAACAAGGGACCTCCAAGACGTGTGGTCAGCAAAATTACCACAACGTGCAAACAAAACGCTAGAGGTAAAACAGATCAGGTATCCAACGACTCCACCACAACCAAACAACACAGACTGTGGTTTGTACATTATGAAATGTTTTGAAAAGTTCCTTGACTTTGTCAACAGAAACTTACAATGGTCGTCATGGAATCCAGAATTCTCCCATAATGAAGTAATTTCCTTCCGCAAGGAAATAAAGCACGCTATTCTGGACGAAATATCTACTAAGAAAAACAACTGACATGATGCAAAGCTGCGTCCATGCTCCCAAATGCAATAGTGAAGTGGACAAGAACACCGACAAGTTTGTGATTTGTCAAGGATTGAACTTCATAACGAAAATAAAGACATTCATAAGGCTTGGTCAAATGAAGTCGAGGGATAAAAACCCTGCTTGTTTTAGCGTAGAAAAGAGCGGTGGTAGGGAAGATGACAGAGAACTAAAAGATCAAGTTTGCGAAAACTCGGTGGAACAGAATGAAGCAGAAATGAAAAGTGAAGAGAAGAGCGGTGACAGGGAAGATGAAATAGAACTGAGAAGCCAAATTTGTGAAAACTCCATGAAACAGAATGAACCAGAAATGAAACGTGAAGAGAAGAGTAGTGGCAGGGAAGATGAAATAGAACTGAAAGCACAAATTTGTGAAAACTCCATGGAACAGAATGAAGCGGAAATAAAAAGTGAAGAAAAGAGTACAGGCAGGGAAGATGACATAGAATTGAAAGCACAAATTTGTGAAAACTCCATGGAACTGAATGAAGAAGAAATGAAAAGTGAAGAGAAGAGTAGTAGCAGGGAAGATGAAATAGAACTGAAAGCACATTTGTGAAAACTCGATGTAACAGAATGAGGCAGAAATAAGAAGTGATGAGAAGAGTAGTGGCAGGAATGATGAAATAGAACTGAGAAGCCAAATTTGTGAAAACTCCATGGAACACAATGAACCAGAAATGAAACGTGAAAAGAAGAGTAGTGGCAGGAAAGATGAAATAGAACTGAAAGCACAAATTTGTGAAAAACTCGATGGAACAGAATGAAGCAGAAATGAAAAGTGAAGAGAAGAGCGGTGACAGGGAAGATAAAATAGAACTGAGAAGCTAAATTTGTGAAAACTCCATGGAACAAAATGAACCAGAAATGAAAAGTGAAGAGAAGAGTAGTGACAGGGAGGATGACGTAGAACTGAAAGCACAAATTTGCGAAAACTCCATGGAACACAATGAACCAGAAATGAAACGTGAAGAGAAGAGTATTGGCAGGGAAGATGAAGTAGAACTGAACGCACAAATTTGTGAAAACTCCATGGAACAGAATGAAGTAGAAGTGAAAAGCATAGAAAAGATCGGTGGAAGCGAAGATGACATAGAACTAAAAGATCAAGTTTGTGAAAACTCAGTGGAACAGAATGAAGCAGAAATGAAAAGTGAAGAAAAGAACGGTGACAGGGAAGATGAAATAGAACCGAGAAGCCAAATTTATGAAAACTCCATGAAACAGAATGAACCAGAAACGAAAAGTGAAGAGAAGAGTAATGGCAGGGCAGATGAAATAGAACTGAATGCACAAATTTGTGAAAACTCAATGGAACAAACTGAAGCAGAAGTGAAAAGTGAAGAGAAGAGCGGTGACAGCGGAGGGAAGATGAAATAGAACAGAAAGAGCAAACGCTTCCCAGGGACCCCACTCACATATTTTAATGACGGGGGGGGGGGGAGAGTGCGAAGGATTTTTTTGGGTCTGACATTTTGGCCAAAAGGATTTTTTTGGGTCTATGAAAGACGCTGGGATTTTTTTGGGTATTGTATTTTTCATCAGCTTAAATCAACAATAACATAAGCGCAATTTACTGCTTGTGTGGTATTACGGGATATTTCTGAGATTTTAATCGATGTGAAAAGTAATTACTGGATGAAGAGACACTGTGACAGCCATGCGAGCTTTTTGTATTTGTTTTTGTACAGTTTTGTTTTTGACCAGAACCAAAGTTGAAGTTGGCATGTTTTAGCTTTTCAGAAGATAAATGATAAAATTTGCTGATGCAAAAACACTGAGGGATTTTTTTTGGGTATGCTAAAAAAAGTAGGGATTTTGTGGGTAGACAAATTCTAAAGTTGGGATTTTTTTGGGTATAAAATATGAACCCCTGTCGGACCCCCCCCCGTCATTGAAATATGTGAGTGGGGCCCCTGTGAAAACTCAATGGAACAAAATGTGGCAGAAAGGAGCTGTGAAGAGGAGGATTATATTTTGTGATTTGTCAAGGATTGAACTTCCTAACAAAAACTACAAAAATAAAGACATTCGTAAGGCATAGTCAAATGAAGTTGAGGGATTAAGGCCCTGGGCTGAGTTGCTCAAAGCATGGTTAGCTTTAACCATTGGTTAAGCAGTATCAAAACCAATACGTTGTCATGGTATTACACGCTGGTTAACGCTAACCTTGCTTCGAGCAACTGGGCCCTGTTTGTTTTATTTTAAAGGGACCGTTGCGGTATGTACGATTCTGGCAATATTGGTGTTGTCGATCAATGCACTAGAATCCATATGCTAGACGAGAGAACCAACCCCTAGCTCCAGTCTCCCCCGTTTTGTTTCATTTTCCCATCATGCTCAGCTATCGAAACACAGGGAGGAGGTTAAGCTTCAAGCCGTGAACAAGAAACAGTTTAGTTAACAGCACATCAACATTTAGTTAACGCCCGCTAAAAAGATGTCCACTACAAATGATTGATTTTGTGACATAGTTATCTGCAATTGTAAAAATGCAAAATAAACATTTTCCTATTAATTTACTTCTCAGTCTTATTACTTAATCGCGTCTTTTTCTTTTAAATCGTAAGATTTACCGAGCATATACCTCCTGATACCTGATAAATGATGTATGTAGCGGCCCTAAGGGGTACTCAGATTTCATATGACCGGAATGATCGAAGGATTGTTTGGGTTTGAAATTTTGAGAGGAAAATTTTAGCAAGTATTTTTTTTGGTACCTTGATTTGAATAGGGAATTCTTTTGGGTATTCAGAACAATCTGAAGATTCCTGATAGTTTCTGCGTATCCCGGGATGGGATTTTTTTCCTTTTTTGGGGGTTAAATTTTGGTCCAGGGATTTTTTTCTTTTTATTTTTGTCCCCATTTGATCATCCCTGTCACTTGAAATCCGGACTACCAGTACCCCCTCCTCCTCCCCCTCGCCCCCCACCCCCCGCTGGTTGTAGCGGTCTTTAAAAAGGCTGTTATGACTCAGATTAGGGACACACATACAACACAAACAAGTGAATCCATTTCCTTTATAAACTGTATGTTTAATTTGCTTTTGTGACAAAATTTGGACAACCAAGTAGACTCAAAGCAGGTTCTATTTGCCTAAAAAGTTTAATGCTGCAACTACATGTACTAAAACAACCATATCATTCTCTTTTTTTATATCAATAGCAGGGGATCCTTGAGGGCCATAATCAATTTCAATTAAGATAAAATGTACGACCCAGGTTGAAAATGATGCCTTTCATGGATATTAAATAAGCGTGTTGCAAAAAAACAGAAACTGAAACTATTTCATTACTGAATGGAAATCGAGCAGATGAGAGGACATAAAGCGGAGCCAGTATTCCACAGTAAAATGGGGAGACTTCGAAAGGCCAGAAAATTCTGTTGTGATGGAAATCCTTTAGCAATAAACTACCGAGAGACAGACAGACAGACTACAGGGATTTCCCTTATAAATGGCTTTTTTGATAATCGGGTGCACCATTTTATGTTCTCCTTATAGGGTATTCCATGAAGATTACTCATTATGTCACCTGATGGCAACAAACCGGACCGCAAAAGTTAGTTTTATTACCGGGCCGTATATGAAAACTCTTAACGTAGGGGCAGATTTAGCTCTGGATGGGTCCGAGTGAGTGGTAAAGCCCCTTATTTCTCGATTTTCTGCACCCATGCGATATACATCCCTAACTTTCGGACGACGTCCGAAAATTAATGCGAGTTGTAACTCGGACGAAAATTCTAGGGTAACTTTCTGTTGACTATATATTTACGAAAAGTCTAGGACAACTTTTCCTCGACCACCTAAATTACGAAAATTCTAGGGCAATTTTTTTTCTTCCGAAAATCAAGACAACGTGTTCTTTCCCTAGAGGAGAAAATTTGCGAAAAATTTAGGCGACCTTACATCCGAAGGAGAAATTTTCCGAAAAATTTAGGCGACCTTACATCCGAACAGATATTTTACCGAAATCATTCGTTGGGTGCCCCTGATAGACACGAAGTAAAATCTAGCGTAAAGTAAGAAAAGCTAGCTCTGAATGGTTATTCGAGGAGCTTGGCTGGACTTTCGGATAATCTAACTTCCCAAGAGAGGATAAAACTCGCTTTTATACTCTCTTGGGTAAACGGATTATTTTTCATAAATGCTTGCTACTTTTTCTATAGTTCTTCTTTGTCTGCAAGGATTTTTATATCTCATTCAAGTGACTTATTTTCAATTATTCAATATCTTTTCCAATGCCCAAATTTGATCCCAATTATTTTTTCCGCAATTAAATGGTGAATAGACCTATAAGCCCATCAGTATACTGGTTAAATAACAAGGGTTTTTTAAACAAAACGTGAAAAATCATAGATAACTGGTAAAAGTCGTTTGACTATAATCATCTTCGTTTTCAAAGGTCAACCGTAGATTAATGGAAGAAAAAAGTGGCGAAAGGTTGTGATAACATGGTAAACTTAAGCTTCTGTCTGATCCAGCACAAGAACGGTCCAATTTGACTTGTCTAATAAGAAGTTATTGGAATTCTAGCCTACGGAGCAAGCCTTCCCGCCGAGTTCGCCGAGAAAGTTGTCAAAGTTGGTATAACTTCCCCCCCCCCCACCCCTTCCATTTTTTTTTGGTCTCGCTCCAGCTTTCGCGCAATAACTCGATTTGAAACGCTTACTACGTAGGGTATTGGATTTCAAAAAGGTCAAATCCCGACGGGAGGTATCATTACTCAAGAAAATTTTTTCACCGGGAGCCTCTGCCCTGCAGAAAAGGTACCCATTTCGATTACTTTCCATTGACAATTGGTATCCCTTTTACATACCTTGTAGTTTAGAACCCTGCAACCCACTAAACTGTAATAAATACACTGTTTTTTTAATATCAATAAACCCGCACGAAATCGACGTGAGTTGATCTCCACTGCCGTGTGTGGCAAGTTTTTTCACGAAGCAAACACGCTAAGGAATCATAAGAGAGTTCACACTGGGGAAAAGCCTTTTAAATGTAAACAGTGTGGCAGATGTTTTAGCCAAACAGTTCACCTAAGGATTCATAAACGAGTTTACACTGGTGAGAAACCTTATGAATGTAAACAGTGTGGAAAGCGTTTTAGCCAATCATGGAACCTGAGGACACATAAACGAGTTCACACTGGTGAGAAACCTTACGAATGTAAACACTGTGGGAAGTCTTTTAACGAAGCAAGTAGCCTGAGGAAGCATGAAAGAATCCACACTCTATTAAAGTCGCTTAAATTTTCCCAGAAAAACGAGATTCTGTCTAAACGTTTGGAATCATGTAAGCTGAAGAGAGCTGGGGGTAAAAACGTTGATCTTGAGGGCCACAGACTTTACAAACAACCTGGCAACACACAGAGAGACTGGAAACAGTGGTGTCGCAGACCCGCAATCAGTCATTAATGAGAAACACAGCTGTTGGATTTGTCAAGAGGAGATGAGTTGTGAGGCTCTTCTTCTTCAACACTATGAACATCATATGACCTATGTTTGTATCGACGATTCTTAAAGTTAAAATGCGTTTCAGTTCTTGTAAGTTCTTTTCGGTTCTTGGGCAAAATTTTTCTAGTTTCAACTTGAAAAGTTTTTTTTTTAAAGTTTGTTACTTTTATACCTGCGATTCATTCCATGCGTACAATTATCAGGAACTACAAGTATGAACGATGAAAGAACAGCTTCTGTGTTAATTATTCCATAAAAAATAAAACCCAGGTTTTAGCCTCACTTACAGCGGGTTATAAGTGGTTTGTCTTCTACATACCATTTACGGTAATTAATATAGCAACTGAAGTGTTTCTGAGCCCACAGCTGTAAGAACATAATAAAAACAAGACTATAGCATATGGACGAAAGTGAAAAAAGGATTCCTTTAAAAAATCTCATTCCATGATTCGTAAAGCGAGAAGTGATAAATGCACGCCTTTGGAGAACCTTCGTCGGTACTTACCGTATTTATTCGATGAACCGCCCTGGGCGCGTACTATTTTTGGACCTTGAGAGTGGCCTCGTATTCGTGGTGGGCGCTTATTCGAGGCTGGGCGCTTATTAAATTTTCACCATTTTCAGCAATCGTAGTATGTTTATTTTGCAACAAAACAATAAATGCTAATAACAAAACGCGGAGGGGTAACAAAGCAAGGTTTCTGTAAAATACTCTGAAGAAAACTCCGTCCTCGGGGAAGTCTCTCGTTAGAATTTATTCACTCAAGTGGGTGGGGTGGCGGTGAGCGCTTATATGAGTTTGATTGGGAGGAGGAGGGGGTGGGCACTTATTAACTTTTTCTGCCTTTAGGACGAGCGCTTATTCAAGGTGGGCGCTAATTTGAGGTTGGGCGCTTATTCGAATAAATACGGAAATTTTTTTGAAAGTTTCTTGGAAAATGGCGCGCGTAAGAAAAAGAAAAACAAATTGCGCCATCATCATGTCATTTCCTTTTTCCCTTCTTTTAAACAGCTCCTGTCTAACAAGTTTCCCATGAAGTCATCCGTGTGTCTGTAGTCTAATAGATCATGGGCAACGACCAATCACAGCGCGCTTAGCATCCAGTATATTCTATAAACTGTCGACCAAGCAGCGCGCCGCGAGAAAACACTTAGTTATTGTAAAAAGGCCCCTGTGACTCGTCGGGAAAGAAAGGCCGTACACAGCAAATAAACAGGTTTAATGTCCACTATCCTATCCACGAGTGCATGCAAGAAGTAATAGAAAACTGAACAGAAACAAAATGAAAAGGTTCCGTATCTTTGTCAACCTCGAGGTTTTGACGAAAATAGTTTAAACGAGACCACAACAAAACACATCGTATAGTAGTCAGGAATTATCTCAACGTTCTCAACAGGTGTCTGTTAAGTCGTAAACTTTACAATAAAACACCCCATACTAAAGTCACTTGATGGTATTACTTTATGGCCGATTTAATAACTTCTAAAAATCCAAGACAAGAAAGCCAGTTGATAAGTGTATCCCTTTAGGCAAGAATAGCTACTAAGAACGCGCATAATTGCATAATTGAATTGCTCTAAAAATTAGAGGACTACACCTGCAGAAATCTCGAAACGGACAGGAAGGCCCCATAATACCCCGCCAAGGGACAGAGTAATGAAAGGAATTAGACAGCCCCTTTGAGGTAGCCTGTACACAGCCTGTACTCTGTCAGCTTTCCACTGTGTTTATGATAGATTTTGCAAGTGTAAAATATGTAAATGTAAAATATGTAGCGAGGACGCGAGCGAATCGAGCGCGGAGCCCTCACCCCTTGCGCTCGCGGTCAATAAAGCCCGTGTGGCGCTCGGCGACCTCTAAATAGAAATAGAGGGTGTGTGATCAGGCTATTTCGAGGAGGCCAAGCTAAGGGGAACCAGGGGGACTTTGAAACTCAATAAGGTGGATTAAATTCAGGTTTACACTTCATTATTAAGTTACTAGTACTTCACCTTCACCTCAGGCTCTCCACAGAGTGCGCGTGCTGCTGTTTCGTGACCTTTCCCGACTCCCCCAAACGGACAGCTTGCTTACAAGCAATAAGAAAGGGGAGGAATTTCACTGGTTAAAAAGTTGTTAAAAAGGCCTTAAAGGACTTAGAGATGCAATTTATCGCTCTGAATGCAGGTTGATTTCCACTGACGCGTTTTTGGCTACGCACTTTAACGCACGTAAATTTCAATCACGTAAATAATGTAGAGGCATGATATAAAGTGCTGAGATTAAACGTGAAGTTGAGCGAGGTTCAACTTTTACGCTTACGAGCGACTGTTGATGCTTTGTCTCCATTTTATTTGCGAACGTAAATTTTACACAACTAAGGTTTCTCACAAGTGTGAACTCGATTATGAGTCCTTAAGTGCACTGTTTGGCTAAAACATTTGCCGCACTTTTTACATTCAAAAGGCTTTTCCCCAGTATGAACTCTCTTATGACGAGTTAAGTGTCCTGCTACACTGAAGCACTTGCCACACTCTTTACATTCAAAAGGCTTTTCCCCAGTGTGAACTCTTTCATGAGTCCTTAGGTTTCCTGCTTGACTAAAACACTTGCCACACTGTTTACATTCAAAAGGCTTTTCCCCAGTGTGAACCCTTTCATGATTCTTTAGTTCTCCTGCTGTGCTAACGCACTTCCCACACTGTTTACATTCAAAAGGTTTTTCCCCAGTGTGAACTCTCTTATGACGACGTAAGTGTCCTCCTTGACTAAAACACTTGCCACACTGTTTACATTCAAAAGGCTTTTCACCAGTGTGAAGTCTTTCATGACTCCTTAGTTTTCCTGCTGTGCCAAAGCACTTGCCACACTGTTTACATTCAAAAGGTTTCTCACCACTGTGAACTCGATTATGACTACTTAGCTCTCCACCTGTGCTAAATCTCTTGCCACACTGTTTACATTCAAAAGGCTTGTCTCCAGTGTGAATTCTCTTGTGACAACTTAAGTGTCCTGCTTCTCTAAAGCACTTGCCACACTCTTTACATTCAAAAGGCTTTCTCCCAGTGTGAACTCTTTCATGACGCCTTAGTTCTCCTGCTGTGCTAAAGCACTTGTCACACTGTTTACATTCATAAGGTTTCTCACCACTGTGAACTCGATTATGAATCTTTAAGTGAACTGTTTGGCTAAAACATTTGCCACACTGCTTACATTCAAAAGGCTTTTCCCCAGTATGAACTCTCTTATGACGACTTAAGTGTCCTGCTTTACTAAAACACTTGCCACACTGTTTACATTCAAAAGGCTTTTCCCCAGTGTGAACTCTTTCATGACTCCTTAGGTTTCCTGCTTGACTAAAACGCTTGCCACACTGTTTACATTCAAAAGGCTTTTCCCCATTGTGGACTCTTTCATGAGTCCTTAGCTGTCTTGCTTGGCTAAAATACTTGCCACACTGCTGGCACTCAAAGGACATTGGGCTTGTTCCTCTTTTAATGTGTTATGGTTAGGGCACCTTTTAACAGGAAGCACAAACATTATTAGGTAAATGTAACATTCTTTGTATTTTATTGGGCAATACATTGAACAGACTTTGAGGCCAGCTAGTGAAAACAAGGTCTGTAACAAATAGTTTAAAAGTTGAGAGGGATATTTGGAAAATAAATTAGAAATAATTATTATTGTAAAGAACAACTGCTGAAGAAAAAGGTGGTTTCTGACCATGCACCATCTGACTGCACACCTAAAAACAGGAGTCAGTTAATGTAACATTGACTTTGTATTCAGATCAGAGAGTCCCCTGTGTTTTGTAAAATAACTCACACCTAGCAGGAAGAAGAATAGGACTAGTGTCACAGTTCTGACTTCCTGTTTGTACCAGGAAACAACCAACCAACCAGGAGATGGAATTAATTTTTTTATAACAAATTAAAATGTACAGTTAAGTAGCAATGTTTACACACATAAAGTGGGATGTTGTGCAACTGAAGATCAAAAAAAATCTGAACTTCCACCACTTGAATAAACCATACTGAATGACTCCACATAAATTTTTGTAGTCATGATCAATAAATACAGTCAATCACTTTTTAATTTAAAAAAGGGGGTGGGGCTGGAGAGGGTAGCATGATAACTTCCTCTAATTATGGTATTTGAGGACCTCTACAGAGGACAGAGAGCCTGGCTTGGTCATACCCCAAGGCATGGGAAGAGAGATCACCTAGAAGACTTGGAGTGGGAATGCTGGATAGAGTGGCGGATGGCAGCCCTTATGTGGTCAAACGGCAGGCCTTAGCTTGAGAACTATAAGGAAGGATCTGCCTGTGGGCTGTGGAAAGGGGCCCAGCTGTAGTTAAATTTCTGCTATTCCAGCAACTAGAAAAGAACCTGGTTAATAAGGACTCCAAAGAAACATACATAGGTTTCTGTATAATTAGGGGGTGTGTATTACGCAGGCTCCCATCATAATAAACAGTGAAACCCGTATCAGCAATGCAGTTTTGTAAAGCACATAGAGTTGTTTGACAATTTATTAAAGTCAACATGATTTTGATAGATCAAACAAAGTTTCATAGTTAAATTATATCAAAGATTACATTTTAGTTTATAACTCTTTTAATAATGGAGATCCTCACTATCTAATTTCAGGGAAGTGAGAGTTTTGCAAAATGCTTTAACTGGTAGACTGTTTTAATCTTGCCACTCTATTTTGATCAACATTTTCTGACACTTTTGTCATCTTGCCTATATCATCTACACTGTTTTGTCAAATATACGGGTTACAGTACAGCTCAAAAGAAAGATGCGAATAACATCGTGGGCTACATGATTCTCTTCGCGTGCTTCACATGCTACGTAATTCCTGTAGTGTGCTATGCGATTCACGTAACGCACCATGGTCTAAAAACTGTAAGTATCATGGCCAAAATTCTTAACCGATTACAAGAATGAGTGGTAAAGCTTTACCAGGACTAACACGCATACAAATTCTTACCTATGCATCCTGCAGACTGTTGCATATAATTCACTTTGTAGAAGATTGGTATTTACATATTTGTGCAAAACATGCTTTTATAAAAAGTCACTTTAAAACCACTGCACAACCTTGAAAACTACATTTTTTTCCAAACACTTTGGGATGATACAAAATTTAGCTTCACTTGTAACTGCCTGCAGGTTTTGCTAAATGCTTCAAGCTGAAATGAATCGTAGACCGATTGGCATGGCTTCCAAAAGCACTGTCACAGCTTTTGACTTCCTTTAGACAAACGGATGTTCCAGTGAACTCTACCAGAAGAAATCTATATTGGATATTTGAAAACCATACAGTTCATTGAGCTGTTTATAAAGTTTAAACTAGTAAGTTTATCGAAGCACTAAAAACTGAATGTTGTCATAATGTTTAGTATACAAAAACAGTACTTAAGGAGTAGGTTTTTAAATTACACATGTATTGACACTGTGCAGATTTGTGATTTGCTGTTACGCAAAAAATGCTTTTCAGCGAATGAACTGTTGTCTTCTTTGGCCGCTGTAATTTGTTAAATTCAAGACAATTTTCTTTCATAAATCAAGAAGAAACTGATGTTAAAAGCTATAAAGAACAAATTAAGCTAACATTATTTCGTGATTGTAAGCCAAGTTGAATTTTTAATAAAGATGCTGTTGATATCTCATCTGTGAAAGTTGCCACTACACATGAACTACAACACATCACAAGAGCTGACATTTTTTTTTGTTGAGAGACTCATTGCTAGCAATTTGCAGTATATTTGATTCTTTTCATGTTGGTTTGTTCATTCCAAAAAATCAAAGAAACTAGAAGCGGCTTTCAGGTTTTGGCATTTCAAACCAAACATCATGATCAAATGTAGAGTAGAATGTCAATCACTAACAAATCCAAAAAGTCAGAAACTCCAATTAAACAGTGTGCAGTGTGATTGACAACTTAAAAGAAATCTTCTTGAAAGAAACTTAACCAAAAATCTAAACCTTTTTTACCTCAGTCTTTGAGGTAACACTAAGAGAAAATTTTGGTTAATTTCTCGCTGAATGTGTCATCAACAATCTATGCCAAAAATTGCTGCATCAATGATTCTCGTGCTATGCAATTCTCGTCACACAGGAAATGAGATGCGACTGGTAAGTTCCTTTTGATTGGTACTGTAAATTTGTTGTCTTGCCACTCGCCTTCCACTCCTTTAGTCAGCATTCGAGTTACATTGCCATCCTTTAGGGTAACACGATGCGTAAACAACCTTAATATTCCCTGTTGTCGCTTGGCAACTGGTCAGCATCGTTTTGCCTATATATGGGTTAAAATCTGGAACGGATTAAGCAAGAACCTAAGGACGTTAACTAGCTATGACAATTTTAAACAATGTATTTTTAGAGAATATTTAAGCAAATCATGTTAATATATTAATTATTATACATTCGCTACATTTATTAAAGTGGACGATTATTATTCTTTTTTACTTTTTTGTCTTGTAATATTGGTGCTGAAAAGCGCTTTTAGGGAGTAATAATAAATGTATGTATGTCCTTTCCTCAACCATAATTATACATGTATATCCTTTTCATATTTTGATGGCATGTCGATCAAAATGTATCTTTCCCTACCAAGCAACGTAACATGCTTGAAAGCATAAAATATTAAACCATCTTACTCATTTGAACTCTTTTATACCTGGAAAATTTGCTCAAAGGAAGCCCGAGGTCACACAGTTTATAAATGTACGTCCAGTCTCTGGTCTAGTTCAGTCGTCAGTGTGTTCGTGATCAGTACCGAATCAGCATATCACTATCACAACTAAAGTACCCATTATGTATGTCAGATTCCCTTACCTTTGGTAACAAGAATTTGCCGTTTTAATCAAATAACACGAGGGAAAATAAGATGAAACCAAGAGCTGAAGGATTCACAAATTGATGGCCGCCATCTTGATTACGCATTATGAGAGAAACCTGGGGTGAGTTAAAAAACCCGTGCGGACTGGGGACCCAAGTTTTTCTTTGGAGAGAAATGCCAATGCCGTCAATGAGATCAAAGCTATTGTTCTTACAATTTGGTTTGCAGATTTTATATGAGAAAAAAGCTGAACCACTAAATACTTTTAGCTACAGTGTATTTAGCCTCCCCCGCAACCGTTCTTATGGGTTCGTCACGAGTTACTGTCCCAAAAACTAGCGCTGATTGGCTCTGAGATAATTCTCCAAGTGATATTTGAGAACAATATGGGAAAGGAATAGGTCCTTCGGTAGCCTGCGTAGCAAGCGTTTCTATGCGGTTTAGGAGCATTAAAGAACGAGGACCAAGAGTCAAAAACCGCGCGAAAAATGGCACAAGTAAAACATTTTATTTTTTGGTTCTCGTTTAATTTCTCGCGCCATCAAAACCGAAAATCCCCTTCCATAGTCTCTTTTTGCTCCGAAGCCAAACGGAAACGCTTGCGCTACGCAGGCGAGTCTTTCGGTTCAACAGACGTTGATCATAAATAGTCTAAACTGTTGCTAACGCCATTTATATAAGAAAATGTTTAAAAGGAGACTCACTTGGAAAAATCCACGTTCTTGGTGAGGGGGGGGGGGTTACTGTATTAACTGCCGCAAACAAAACCAGCTTACATAGACTTGGATTCTCAAAAATGAAACGCACGACGTAAAATCTAGCGTAAAGTAAGAAAAGCTAGATCTGAATGGTTATTCGAAGAGCTTGGCTGGACTCTCGGATAATCTATCTTCCCAAGAGAGAATATAGACTGCAAAACAGTCAAACAGTTCAAGTACGCGTGAGCAAAATGTTTCAAACAAAATGTCTGGAACGAGGCTGAAAACAGAGAGCGAGACTAAGGAGAGACGCTAAAGACTCTTACGCCACGCTTTACTTTACTGATTCTCAGAAAAAAACCGACTGTTTTGCAGTCTAGAGAGGATAAAGCTCGCCTTTATACTCTATTAGGTATATGGATTACATTTCATAAATGCTTGCTAGTTTTTCTATAGTTCTTCTTTCTCTGCAAGGATTTTTTATCTCATTCAAGTGACTTATTTTCAATTATTCAATATCTTTTCCAATGTCCAAATTTGATCCCAATTTTTTTTGCGCGACTAAATGGTAAATAGACCTAAGTATATTGCGGGGTTAAATGACAAGGGTTTTTTTAAACAAAATGTGGAAAATCACAGATAACTGGTAAAAGTCGTTTGACTATAATCATCGTCGTTTTCAAAGGTCAACCGTAGATTGATGAAAGAAAAAAAGGAGCCATGTCCAGCCCTGGCCATGAAATCCAGAGTTTCTTCACTTCTTACTTAGTTCCACACTTCTCAGAGGTGTCGAAGTGTGGAAAAGTCCGACAAAGTAAGGATATTGTCTCACTTTCCCCCAGTCATCAACCCTTTGTCATTCTTTATTTAGTTCCACACTTCCCAGAGGTGTGGAAGTGTGGAAAAGTCCGACAAAGTAAGGATATTGTCTCACTTTCCCCCACCCATGAACCCTTTGTCATTCTTTACTTAGTTCTACACTTCCCAGAGGTGTGGAAGTGTGGAAAAGTCTGACAAAGTAAGGATATTGTCTCACTTTCCCCCAGTCATGAACCCTTTGTCATTCTTTACTTAGTTCCACACTTCTCAGAGGTGTGGAAGTGTGGAAAAGTCCGACAAAGTAAGGATATTGTCTTACTCTCCCCCAGTCATGAACCCTTTGTCATTCTTTACTTAGTTCCACACTTCCCAGAGGTGTGGAAGTGTGGAAAAGTCTGACAAAGTAAGGATATTGTCTCACTTTCCCCCAGTCATCAACCCTTTGTCATTCTTTACTTAGTTCTACACTTCCCAGAGGTGTGGAAGTGTGGAAAAGTCTGACAAAGTAAGGATATTGTCTCACTTTCCCCCACTCATGAACCCTTTGTCATTCTTTACTTAGTTCCACACTTCTCAGAGGTGTGGAAGTGTGGAAAAGTCCGACAAAGTAAGGATATTGTCTCACTTTCCCCCAGTCATCAACCCTTTGTCATTCTTTACTTAGTTCTACACTTCCCAGAGGTGTGGAAGTGTGGAAAAGTCTGACAAAGTAAGGATATTGTCTCACTTTCCCCCACTCATGAACCCTTTGTCATTCTTTACTTAGTTCCACACTTCTCAGAGGTGTGGAAGTGTGGAAAAGTCCGACAAAGTAAGGATATTGTCTCACTCTCCCCCAGTCATGAACCCTTTGTCATTCTTTACTTAGTTCCACACTTCCCAGAGGTGTGGAAGTGTGGAAAAGTCTGACAAAGTAAGGATATTGTCTCACTTTCCCCCAGTCATCAACCCTTTGTCATTCTTTACTTAGTTCTACACTTCCCAGAGGTGTGGAAGTGTGGAAAAGTCTGAGAAAGTAAGGATATTGTCTCACTTTCCCCCAGTCATGAACCCCTTGTCATCCTTTACTTTGTTCTACACTTCTCAGAGGTGTGGAAGTGTGGAAAAGTCTGACAAAGTCAGGATAATGTAACACTTTTCCCCTGGTCATACGAAACCACTGTCATTCTTTACTTAGTTCTACGCTTCTCAGAGGTGTGGAAGTGTGGAAAAGTCTGACAAAGTAAGGATATTGTCGCACAGTTCCCCCTGTTAAGAACCCCTTGTCATTCTTTACTTAGTTCTACACTTCCCAGAGGTGTGGAAGTGTGGAATAGTGTGACAAACTAAGGATACTGCCGCGCTTTTCCCCCAGTCATGAACCCCTTGTCATTCTTCACCTTGTTCCACACTTCTCAGAGGTCTGGAACTGTGGAATAGTCTGACAAAGTAAGGATATTGTCGCACTTTTCCCCCTGTTAAGAACCCCTTGTCATTCTTTACTTAGTTCCACACTTCTCGGAGGTGTGGAAGTGTAGAATAGTGTGACAAGTTGAGTTTAATGTTGCACTTTCCCTGAGTCACGAGAAGCTCAGTGCGCTTTATGAGCACTTGGTTTTATTTCTGTATGGTTTTTTACATTTTTCCTTTAGAACCATTTTTATTTTGAATAGCAGATATAACCATTGTTTCAATGCCAGCTGTTGAAAGAAACTTCAAGTTAAGAAATCCGATCTCCAACCAAGCTTTCATCCTTATCAGTACGGGTTCAAATTTGATAATTGTTAGATCACGCCATCTATCCACTGTTTCGCAGTTTTTCCTCTTCTCTAAGGTTATGTAAATGCTGGACATAAATTATGAAAAAGAAGCAACACCACGCTCGGAGGCGAGCGGCTCGAGGCCAAGAAACATCGAAAAAGAATTCACCTAAGGGTGACTCTCTAAAGACGAAGAGGAGGGTGGACCATGCAAATATTTTAGTATTGTCACGTGCCGCAGAGATAACATAAATATTGCCAACCCTATAACACGCAAGTAAACAGTGATCCCCCTTTTCCGCAGAGAGATCTGCAGGTAGCTACTCTAGGCCGATAAGTCACAATTATTACTTTATACAGAATGCTGTATATTTTTAGACCAATTTAGGTCATGAACGTGATGAAGGAATAGAACAAGAAGAATTGATTTGAGCATTTATAAACTGTATCGAGTTGATCTTAAAGCGAGGAAGATAGAACGCACATACTCTGCATTCTTTACTGCCTATTTTTAGCGTTGTCACGATCTTAAGAGACCTGACTGTTGTACCCAATTAAAAGCTCCTGGGGTTAAGGTTCTTTGTGTATTGTATTTGCGTTATAATGTGGCATTCACATTTAAATGATATGGAAATTCCTAAACCAAGACGTTTTATACCCAAAAGGTTTGAATCGGGTACGACATTGAGTCAGCCGAATAGATTTATAGGAAGGAGAAAAACCCAGAATAAGACGTCTCATATATGGCACATTAAGATGAAAAATTTCAAACATAAAAATCCATAGATGAGATGACGTTGTTGAGGTTTCCCTTGAAAAATAAATAAATAAAAAAACGAAGATAAAGGACTGACGGGGACTTCGTGACAGAGAAAACGTAGGCTTGTTTTATGGTCGGGTATTCAAACAGATAGCAGTGAAACAAGGCTAATATCTTCTAGTCATAGAATTGTTGTCTAAACTTAAAATAGCATTTAAAAAGATGTAAAACGAGTTGCAGGAATAAAACCAACAAATACTCCCACTGCGCTTTATTCTCATTTCATACATAGGAGTGTAACTAAGGAAAGAATGTCAAGGGATTCGTGACTGGGGGGAAAGTGCGACAATATCCTGACTCTGTCAGACTATTTCATACTTCCACACCTCTGAGAAGTGTAGAACTAAGTAAAGAATGACAGTGGTTTCGTATGACCAGGGGAAAGTGTGACATTATCCTGACTTTGTCAGACTTTTCCACACTTCCACACCTCTGAGAAGTGTAGAACTAAGTAAAGAATGACAAGGGGTTCTTAACAGGGGGAAAAGTGCGACAATATCCTTACTTTCTCAGACTTTTCCACACCTCCACACCTCTGAGAAGTGTAGAACTGAGTAAAGAATGACAGTGGTTTCGTATGACCAGGGGAAAAGTGTGACATTATCCTGACTTTGTCAGACTTTTCCACACTTCCACACCTCTGAGAAATGTAGAACTAAGTAAAGAATGACAAGGGGTTCTTAACAGGGGGAAAAGTGCGACAATATCCTTACTTTGTCGGACTTTTCCACACTTCCACACCTCTGAGAAGTGTGGAACTAAGTAAAGAATGACAAAGGGTTCATGACTGGGGAAAAGTGTGACATTATCCTTACTTTGTCGGACTTTTCCACACTTCCACACCTCTGAGAAGTGTAGAACTAAGTAAAGAATGACAAGGGGTTCTTAACAGGGGGAAAAGTGAGACTATATCCTTACTTTGTCAGACTTTTCCACACTTCCACACCTCTGAGAAGTGTGGAACTAAGTAAAGATTTACAAGGGGTTAGTGCTTGTGGGAAAAGTGCGACAATATCCTTACTTTGTCAGACTTTTCGACACTTCCACACCACTGAGAAGTGTGGAACTAAGGATGAAAAAGGAAAGTAGGGATCTTGTGGCCAGCACTGGACATTTGTGAAAAAAGTAGCGAAAGGTTTTGATAACACGGTCAACTTAAGCTTCTGTCTGATCCAGCACAAGAACAGTCCAATTTGACTTCTCCACTAAGAAGTTATTGGAATCCAAGCCTGCGGATCAAGCCTTCCTGCCGAGTTCGCCGAGAAAGTTGTCAAAGTTGGTATAACTTCCCTCCCCCTTCCATTTTTTTTTTGCTCCCCCTCCAACTTTTGCGCAATAACTTTATTGGAAACGCTTACTACGCAGTCTATTGGATTTCAAAAAGGTCAAATCCCGAGGGGAGGTATATACTGAAGAAAATCTTTTCACCTCTAGGCTCCGCCCTGCAGAAAAGGTACCCATTTCGATTACTTTCTATTGACAATTGGTATCCCTTTTACATACCTTGTAGTTTAAACTCTGCACCCCATTAAACTGTAATAAATACACTTTTTTAAAAAAACAATATGAATAAACCCGCAAAAAATCGACTTAGGGTTGATTTCCACTGCGGCGTAATTTTTACGTACGTGTAAAATTTACGTTGGCAAATAAAATAGACGCAATGCACGAACAGTCGCTCGTAAGCGTAAAAGTTGAACCTCGCTCAACTTCACGTTTAATCTCAGCGCTTTATATGTTGCCTCTACATTACTTACGTGATTGAAATTTACGTGCGTTAACGTGCGTAGCCAAAAACGCGTCAGTGGAAATCAACCTGGACTCACAGCCATAAAATGTATCTTTTAAGACTTTTAAGGCCTTCTTAAGGTCCGAAACGACAGATTTCTTTGGCCTTTCATTTTATTTCAACCAGTGAAATTCCTCCCCTTCCATATTGCTTGTAAGCAAGCTCTCCGTTTGGGGGAGTCGGGAAAAAGCTCACGAAACAGCAGCACGCGCACTCTGTGGAGAGCCCGTGAGGTAAAGTTCAAGTACACCTTTTGCTGTTCATTACGAGAAAATACGCAGTCTTTTGCGTGAAACGGCGACCAATAGTGCGAAGATACATTCATTAGCGCGAAAATACGAACATTTGCGCATAAATCAGATTCAATTACGATTTTTGCATTTTAATCAACATTCAATAACACTTTTGGGCATTCATATGCGTCATTGGGCATACAAAAGAGAGAAATATACTTTCATTAAGGCCAACATCAAAGTCATTAATACCATCTTGAAAGTCAATAGGGACAACTGACATACATTAAAGTGCAAACACTATTCATTAACATTTTTACGACACCGATTGCAATTCAATAGCATTCCTGGACAACCTTAGGATGGATAAGACAAACATTAATGTGCTTGTACAATCAATTGAGTGTTCTTTACATTTAATGTACAAAAATCGATTTTCAATCAAACAATAGAAATTCAAACAAATTTGGCCTGAATTTCCGTCCGTTAAATGTATATCCCTTAAAAACCTCGCTATTTAAACATTTTGGGAGGTAGGTTTGATGTCGAGGGGGGACGCATAAGCTGTGTACGTATGGAGCGGGAATGGCCAAATCTAGGTGACTGCCAGGCACCCCGTCATACCCAAAGACTGCCGACTTATCGGGATCCATTTTTTCCTCGCCCGTGGTAGAAAGTCACCGAAAAACCGACACAGTATTCATTACTCCAGCAGCTCCCGAGAAAAACACATGATAGGTAATTAATATTGCCATGGTCATAGTCAAGTTTCGTCCTCGTTGGCCGCACACTTGGCGGTACGCCCTCCACTCCCTGTCGCGCCCCACCATGACTTCTGGCCGTCTAGGGTAAATGAATAGCCGCAGCCGTCGACGAACACACAGTGGCGAAGTACGGCGTGATTCGTTAAACAAATTCAGGCCAATTTTGGGGGGAAATTGGTATTGTTTAATTGAAAATATATTTTTGTATATTAAATGTAAAGAACGCTCAATTGATTGTACAAGCGCATTAATGTTTGTCTCATCCATTCTAAAGCTGTCCATGAATGCTATTGAATTACAAACAGTGTCATAAAAATGTTAATGAATAGCGTTTGCACTTAGATGTTTGTCTATTGTCCCTAATGATTTTCAAGATAATGTTAATGACTCGAATGTTGGCGTTAATGAAAGTATATTTTTCTCTTTTGTATGTCGAATGACGCAAATGAATGCCCAAAAATGTTATTGAATGTTGATTAAAATGTAAAAATCGTTATTGAAACTGATTTACGCGCAAATGTTCGCTTTTTCGCGCTAATGAATGTATCTTCGCGCTGTTGGTCGCCTTTTCACGCAAATGAACGCGTATTTTCTCGTAATGAACAGCAAAAGGTGTACTAGTAACTTAAAAATGAAGAGTAAACCTGAATTTAATCCCCCTTATTGAGTTTCAAAGTCCCCCCTGGTTCCCCTTAGCCTGGCCTCCTCGAAAATGCCTGATCACACACCCTCTATTTCTCTTTAGAGGTCGCCGAGCGCCGCACGGGATTTATTGCCCGCGAGCGCAAGGGGTGAGGGCTCCACGCTCGATTCGCTCGCGTCCTCATTACATATTTTACACTTGCAAAATCTATTATAAACATAGTCGAAAGCTAACAGAGTACAGGCTACCTCAAAGAGGCTGTCTAATGCCCTTCATTGCTCTGTCCCTGGGCGGGGTATTATGGGGGCTTCCTCTCCCTTTCGAGATTTCTGCAGGTGTAGTCCTCTAATTTTTAGAGCAATTCTCTATGCGTGTTTCCAGTAGCTATTCATGCCCAGAATGATACATTTAACAATTGGCTTTCTTTTCTTGGATTTTAGAAGTTATTACATCGACCACAAAGCAATACCATCAAGTGACTTTGGTATGGGGCGCTTTATTGTAAAGTGTACGACTTAATAGATACCTGTCGAGAACGTTGAGAAAATTTTTGACTGCTATATGATGTCTTATTGTCGCTTCGTTTTAACTATTGTCGCCAAACCTCCGAGGATGACAAAGAGAGGGAACGTTTTAATTTTGTTTTTGTTCAGTTTTCTATTACTTCTAGATGTACTCGTGGATAGGATTGTGGACATTAAACCTGTTTATTTGCTGTGTACGGCCTTTCTTTTCCCGACAAGTCACAGGGACCTTTTTACAATAACTAAGTGTGATGATGGCGCAATTTGCTTTTCTTTTTCTTACGCGCGCTATTTTCCAAGAAACTTTCAAAAATTTCCGTATTTATTCGAATAGGCGCGCAACCTTACATTAGCGCCCACCTCGAATAAGCGCTCATCCTAAAGGCAGAAAAAGTTAATAAGCGCCCACCCCCTCCTCCTTCCAATCAAACTCAAATAAGTGCTCACCGCCACCCTACCCACTTGAGTGAATAAATTCTAATAAGAGACTTCCCCGAGGACTTCCCCGAGCAATACCATCAAGTGACTTCCCCGAGGACTTCAGAGTATTTTACAGAAACCTTGCTTTGTTACTTCTCCGCGTTTTGTTCTTAGCATTTATTGTTTTGTTGCAAAATAAACATACTACACTTGCTGAAAATGGTGAAAATTTAATAAGCGCCCCGCCTCGAATAAGCGCCAACCTCGAATACGTGCCAACTCTCAAGGTCCAAAAATTTAATAAGCGCCCAGGGCGGTTAATCGAATAAATACGGTAAGTACCGACGAAAGTTCTCCAAAGGCATGCATTATTAAATCACTTCTCGCTTTACGAATCATGGAATGAGATTTTTTTAAGGAATGCTTTTTTCACTTTCGTCCATATGCTATAGTCTTGTTTTTATTTTGTTCTTACAGCTGTGGGTTCAGAAACACTTCAGTTGTTATATTAATTACCGTAAATGGTATGTAGAAGACAAACCACTTATAACCCTCTGTAAGTGAGGCTAAAACCTGGGTTTTAGTTTGTTTAAGACACATAAGCTGTTCTTTTATCGTTCATACTTGTAGTTCCTGATAATTGTATGCATGAAATGAATCCCAGGTATGAAAGTAACAAACTTTAAACAAAACCAAACGTTTCAAGTTGAAACTAGAAAACTTTTGCCAAAGAACCGAAAAGAACTTACAAGAACTGAAACGCATTTTAACTTTAAGAATCGTCTTCATAAACATAGGTCATATGATGTTCATAGTGTTGAAGAAGAAATGCCTCACTACTCATCTCCTCTTGACAAATCCAACAGCTGTGTTTCTCATTAATGACTGATTGCTGGTCTGCTACACCACTTTTTCCAGTCTCTCTGTGTGTTGCCAGGTTGTTTGTAAAGTCTGTGGCCCTAAGATCAACCTTTTTACCCCAAGCTCTCTTCAGCTTACATGATTCCAAACGTTTAGACAGAATCTCGTTTTTCTGGGAAAATTTAAGCGACTTTAATAGAGTGTGGATTCTTTCATGCTTCCTCAGGTTACTTGCTTCGTTAAAAGACTTCCCACAGTGTTTACATTCGTAAGGTTTCTCACCAGTGTGAACTCGTTTATGTGTCCTCAGGTTCCATGATTGGCTAAAACGCTTTCCACACTGTTTACATTCATAAGGTTTCTCACCAGTGTGAACTCGTTTATGAATCCTTAGGTGAACTGTTTGGCTAAAACATTTGCCACACTGTTTACATTCAAATGGCTTTTCCCCAGTGTGAACTCTCTTATGATTCCTTAGCGTGTTTGCTTGGTGAAAAAACTTGCCACACTGTTTACATTCATAAGGCTTTTCCCCAGTGTGAACTCTTTCATGCATCCTTAGGTTTTTTGCTTGACTAAAGCACTTCCCACACTGTTTACATTCAAAAGGCTTTTCCCCAGTGTGAACTCTTTCATGACTCCTTAGGTCTCTTGCTGTGCTAAAGCACTTGCCACACCGTTTACATTCATAAGGTTTCTCACCAGCGTGAACTCGTTTATGATTCCTTAAGTGGGCTGTTTGGCTAAAACATTTGCCGCACTGGTTACATTCAAAAGGCTTTTCCCCAGTATGAACTCTCTTATGACGAGTTAAGTGTCCTGCTTGACTAAAATACTTGCCACACTGTTTACATTCAAAAGGCCTTTCCCCAGTGTGAACTCTTTCATGACTCCTTAGGTTTCCTGCTTGACTAAAATACTTGCCACACTGTTTACATTCGAAAGGCTTTTCCCCAGTGTGAACCCTTTCATGATTCTTTAGTTCTTCTGCTCGGCTAAAGCACTTCCCACACTGTTTACATTCAAAAGGTTTTTCCCCAGTGTGAACTCTCGTATGACGACGTAAGTGTCCTGCTTGACTAAAACACTTGCCACACTGTTTACAGTCAAAAGGTTTCTCACCAGTGTGAACTCGATTATGACTACTTAGGTCTCCACCTGTGCTAAAGCTCTTGCCACACTGTTTACATTCATAAGGCTTTTCCCCAGTGTGGACTCTTTCATGAGTCCTTAGCTGTCTTGCTTGGCTAAAATACTTGCCACACTGCTGGCACTCAAAGGACATTGGGCTTGTTCCTCTTTTAATGTGTTATGGTTAGGGTACCTTTTAACAGGAAGCACAAACATTATTAGGCAAATGTAACATTCTTTGTATTTTTTTCGGCAAGGCATTGAACAAACGTTGTGGCCAGCTAATGAAAACAAGGTCTGTAACAAATAGTTTAAAAGTTGAGAGGGATATTTGGAAAATAAATCAGAAATAATTATTATTGTAAAGAACAACGGCTCAAGAAATAGGTGGTTTCTGACCACGCACCATCTGACAGCACACCTAAAAACAGGAGTCAGTTAATCTAACATTGACTTTGTATTCAGATCAGAGAGTCCCCTGTGTTTTGTAAAATAACACACACTTACAATAATTATTGGCGATAAAGGCTCATCATAGCGCATAAATACAGACAATACAGTATAGTGGAACCTATCTTACAATCAATCAGCACTCTATTAAGCTCCTTGGGATATTTATTTAAAGCAAGCTTGAGGATAGTTGGGTGGGCGGGACATACCGAGAGGGGGGGAGGTTATTTAATGTAGCGAAACCCATCACCAATAGCAACAAGGAAGAATACGACTAGTGTCACAGTTCTCACTTCCTGTTTGTACCAGAAAACAACCAACCAACCAGGAGATGGAATTAATTTTTTTATAACAAATTGAAATGTACAGTTAAGTAGAGTATGTTGGGCAACTGAAGATCAAAAACAAATCTGAACTTCCAGCAAAATAAACCATACTGAGTGACTCCACATAAAGTATAATAGTCATGATCAATAAATACAGTCAATCACTTTTTAATTTAAAAAAGGGGGGGCTGGAGAGGGTAGCATGATAACTTCCTCTAATTATGGTATTTGGGCACCTCTACAGAGGACAGAGAGCCTGGCTTGGTCATAACCCAACGCATGGGAAGAGAGACCACCTAGAAGACACGGAGTGGGAATGCTGGATAGAGCAACAGATGGCGGCCCATATGTGGTCAAACAGCAGGCCTTAGATTGAGAACTATAAAAAGGATCTGCCTGTGGGCAGAAAACACACACACACATACAAGGCAGACCTCTCTCACAAAAGTGAAGGGGCCCAGCTGTAGTTAAATTTCTGCTATTCCAGCAACAAGAAAGGAACCTGGTTAATAAGGACTCCAAAGAAACATACATAGGTTTCTCTATAATCAGGGGGTGTGTATTACGAGACCAGGCCCCCCCGTTATCTCAAGGCCTGGATCCGCCACTGTTCCTGTAGTGCGCTATGCGATTAACACAGCGCACCATGGCATAAAAACTGTAAGTATCATGGCCAGAATTCTTGAGCGATTCCAAGAATCAGTGGTAAAGCTTTACCAAAACTAACATGCGTACAAGTTTTTACTTATGCATCCTGAAGACTGTTGAGTATAATTTACTTTGTGGAGTATCAGTATTTATGTATTTGTGCAAAACATGCATTTAAAAAAGTCACTCTAAAACCACTGCACCACCTTGAAAACTACATTTTTCCACTAAAAACTTTGAGATGACACAAAATTTATCTTCACTTGTAACTGCCTGCAGGTTTTGTTAAACTCTTCAAGCTGAAATGAATTTTAGACTGATTGGCAAGGCTTCCAAAAGCGCTGTCATAGATTTTGACTTCCTTTAGACAAATGGATGTTCCAGCGAACTCTACTGGAAGAAATCTATATTGGATATTTGAAAACTTTACAGTTCGTTGAGCTGTTTTTAAAGTTTAAGCCAATAAGTTTATTGACGCACTGAAAACTGAATCTTTTCATAATGTGTAGTATGCAAAAACAGTACTTAAGGAGTAGGTTTTTTAAAAATTACACATTTTGAACCTGAGCAAATTTTTGATTTGCTGTCACACAAAAAATGCTATTCAGCAAATGCACTGTTGTCTTCTCTGGCCCCTGTAATTTGCTAAACTCAAGACAATTTTGATTCATAAATCAAGAAGAAACTGGCGTGAAAAGCTACAAACAACAAATTAAGCTAACATTTTCATGATTTTAAGCCGAGTTGAATTTTTAATAAAGATGCCGTTGATATCTCGTCAGCGAAAGTTGCCACAATGTGTGAACTACAACTACACACATCACAACACAGGCGGCCCAGACGTAGTATGTGTCACTGAATGAATATATTAATATCCACATGGACAAATTATTGCGATGAGTCGTCGAAACTCCCATGGACTAAAATAGTCTAAAAGTCAAAATATAACAAAACAAAGCTAAGATACCTTTAACTGAACGTATCCTTGTCTTTCCTGGCCGGTTTAAGCGGCATTTTGTTGAGTTTTGAAATTGTAGGTACTATCCACTAAAGAAGAATTAAAGGCTGGCTACAAAACAAGCAGACCATCTCCACGCGCCTTCACACGAAGCGCTATAAATTCGAGAATAATCGACGAATCTGCTCCAAATAACCATCGGCTAATTTGCAGGTAACGTGTGCTCCTGCTTCTGGCTCGCTTGCTCCACAAAACCCATCGCAACTGCACAATAATTGTTCGCTCATCAACAACCACTGTTGACCTTTACGCTTCGATATGACCGCAAACGACCAGGTTTAATACGCGTCGTGACGCGACGTGAATATTCAAGCTTAGCGACCGCGTTCGCGCAACAATGCAGCACTTGCTATGGGAGGGATGGTACTATTGCTTCCAGGTCAATCAATCGGGAAAATAATATTGAAGCCCATGTAATTTTTAAAAAGATCCAATTTGCCCAAGGAGCACCGAACAGATATGAATCTTATAGCGGACCTAAAAAAAATGAGCAGCAGTGGAAAAAGTGAACAAGAACATATACCACATTTTCTCCATAAAAAGTGAAAACCAGGAAGTTTTCTGGACGTTTCACGTTGAAGTCATGCAAATCAACGGCAAGGAAATGTACAAGAAAGTGTGCTGCAATTAGACCTATTGTTGTTTTTCACAGTTCTGGTCAAGGGCATCCAACTTTTAATTTTTCACATTTCACTCACCGGGTTAGGCTATTTTTTGTAGAGAGTAAAATGGAATCCTAAAATTTTCGGATTCAAAAATGTGATGAAAGAAGGTATCTGAAAAATTATCTCCTTCGTAATACGTTAAATTGCATCTAAAATTTTTGGGAAAATAATTCTGAATTCCTCGTAATTTTGAAAAGACTCAAGTTCCTCTAGAATGGCCGAACACTGAGATGCAAATTTTATAGCGCCACTTAGAATGCATTTCTATAGAGCTAAAAGTACTTTATGAATAGCTACAGAAGTGTTTTCAATTGAAAGTATTTGAGGAAACAGTCGTTGGGTGGCCCTGTCTCGTTGCCTTCTCCGCTTAGCATTACACGATATATTTTATATTTAGTATGAGCAAACTATAAATCATTAGCTTCGCTTTTAGCCCTCCTGACTAAATTTATGTAAGCGCTGTTTAGAATGCATGCAAAAGTACTCTGGACAGCCTTAAATGTGTTTTCAATGCCTTTAGGGGGAAATCATCGTTGGGTGCCCCTGAGTTTTGAGAATAATAATAATAATAATAAAAAAAGATATCGCGCACATAAATTTTACTTTACGATATCTTCAGCTGTATCTTCTATTCAGCTGCATAGCGGGGGCCAGATTTTGCCTTTTTCCTGGGCGGAAAATTCTCGTCCTCCTTCACCAGTTTGGACAACATATTATGGAGTAAGACGTTGTTAATCTAAGCAAATAAGTCTGGTAGAGTCAAGAACCTATGCAAGCGGCTGGACGAACAATGTGACAGCAGCTGAGACAGCGAACGTTAGAAGAATTCGAACTTGAAAACCAGGGCTGCCCTGTTGAAAACTTACGGACGGTCCCGCAATCGCCTTTTGTTTTCTGGTCAAAACTAACGCAGCTAACCTTCGGTCAGTCGATTGACCTAGAAGCAATAGTACCATCCCTCCCATAGCAAGTGCTGCATTGTTGCGCGAACGCGGTCGCTAAGCTTGAATATTCACGTCGTGTCACGACGCGTATTAAACCTGGTCGTTTGCGGTCATATCGAAGCGTAAAGGTCAACAGTGGTTGTTGATGAGCGAGCAATTATTGTGCAGTTGCGATGGGTTTTGTGGAGCAAGCGAGCCAGAAGCAGGAGCACACGTTACCTGCAAATTAGCCGATGGTTATTTGGAGCAGATTCGTCGATTATTCTCGAATTTATAGCGCTTCGTGTGAAGGCGCGTGGAGATGGTCTGTTTGTTTTGTAGCCAGCCTTTAATTCTTCTTTAGTGGATAGTACCTACAATTTCAAAACTCAACAAAATGCCGCTTAAACCGGCCAGGAAAGACAAGGATACGTTCAGTTAAAGGTATCTTAGCTTTGTTTTGTTATATTTTGACTTTTAGACTATTTTAGTCCATGGGAGTTTCGACGACTCATCGCAATAATTTGTCCATGTGGATATTAATATATTCATTCAGTGACACATACTACGTCTGGGCCGCCTGTGATCACAAGAGCTTCATTTTTTGTTAAGAGACTCAACGCTAGCAATTTGCAGTATATTTGATTCCTTTCACGTTGGTTTGTTCATTCCAAAAAATCACAGAAACTAGAAGCGGCTTTCATGTTTTGGTAAACCAAACATCATGATCAAAATAATGTAGAGTGGAATGTCAATTGCTAACAAATCAGAAAAGTCAGAAACTCCAATAAGGTGGTTCGAACCTATTAATATGGATACTGGTTATGTTTTTGGTTTGCGTTTTTCAGAATGAAAGACTCAACCGATTTCTATGATTTCTGGCATACCAAATAATTATTGATAGAACTTAAAGAAAATGCTATTTGTTTTCTTGTAGATATAAAAACCTTTGAGATACCAGCATATATTTAATACCTCCTTTTTACTAAAAATGTAAATAACTTCAAAATCCCACGACAGATTTTTCCCTAACTTCAGCAAATAAGCCTCAGAGCTCTCTAGTTTTACATCTGCAAGTTTGAAGGCAATCGTGACCGTAGAACTTGCTGCACAAAATGCTGGTCAAATTAAACCTTCAAATACTATGCTAAAACATCGTTGTGAAAGTTGACGCACGAATAGAGGTAGAGTGCCGACAGACTATATCTCCTATCTGAAAGGATATTCCTACCTAAAGCTTTATTGTCAGAAACAGTGATCAGAAACCTACAGTGAACATAGTTAGCACTACAAGAAGAACAACTTTATGCCGAGTGCGCAGTAATATTAAAAAACTTCTATTCATCAAACTTAAGTTGCACTTGTCCCTCTCTTTTGGAAACAAATCTTAACAAAGCAAATTGTTAAATTCCTAGACTTTCACTCAACTAAACAGGGACAGCCATTGGCTGATTCTTGGTCACGTGGCCTTGACTAAAATCAAATGTATCCCGATCGTGATACATCAAGCAATGTACCCCGCTCGGGATACATTACAGCATGTGATCAGAGCATGGTGGAAAGTGGCGTGACAGAAGGCGGGAAAAACACTGCCAGTTTTCTGTTACGTGAATGAACACAACAACATTCACAACAACACAAACATGAAGCCTCAAGCTAAAAAGCAACGATTTTCAAAGTTATCCCAGAAGAGAAACAGCAGCTAGTGGAGGAAGATGTAGATAATATAAGGAAAGTACTTTTTAAATCATTCATGCAGTGGTTTTGAGAATTAAATTTGTGTTCTTATAAGTACCGAGTCGTACTGTTTTGATTCACTCCTCTTAAGCGCATTATTTTGTTGCTGTTGAAGTACATTGAAGTGAACGTCTAGAATATAACAAAACACTTAATGTCAGGTCCCTCGAGAAACCAGTTAGTTTTGTTTTCCCTCGAGTCCTGATGTTTCCCTCGACTTCGTCTCGGGAAACATCAGGACTCTTGGGAAAATAAAACTAACTGTCTCCCTCGGGATCTGACATTAAGTGTATAATATAGCATCTACGAAAAACTGTCAAGAGTTTTTAGCGTCAAAGGTTCCTGTTTTGAAGAGAAATAACGCCACAAACTTCAGTACTTCTAACCATCCATTTTTCAGCTACAATGAAAACCCTTGTATTTGGTAATTTATTCAAGCTCTTTAGACTTGCCATCACATTCGCACGGGAAGTTTACCACTTGGGAATAAAGATGAAGACAAATATGACAATCATCCTATTGTTCTCATTATCCCCAACAGTAAATTGCCCGTGCACATGTGATGTGAGGCACTCAGCTCAAAATTGTTCTTCTTAAAGTGTTAACTGTATTTGCCGTAATTAAGTTTCTGATTGCCCTGTTTCTTGCAATAAAGCTTTAGGTAGGAATATCCTTTCAGATAGGAGATAGTGTGTTGGCAGTCTTCCTCTATTTGTGTGTCAACTTTCACAAATGTGTTAGCGTAGCATTTTAAGGTTAAATTTGACCAGCATTTTTTGCAGTGAGTTCTATGGTCACAATTGCCTTCAAAGTTGCAGACGTAAAACTAGAGAGCTCTAAGGCTTATTTGCTGAAGTTAGGGAAAAATCTGTTGTGGGATTTCGAAGTTATTTACATTTTTCGTAAAAATGCGGTTTTAAATATATGCCGATATCTCAAAGGTTCTTATACCTACAAGAAAATAAATAACATTTTCTTAAAGTTCCATTATTGTTTATTAAGGATGCCAAAAATCATAGAAATCGGTTGAATCTTTCATTCTGAAAAACGCAACTCACCACCTTAAACAGTCGGCCACCTTAAACAGTGTTGAGAAGTTAAAGGAAAGGTTCTCGAAAGGAACTTAACCAAACATCTAACACCCATTTACCTCAGTCTTTAAGGTAAGGCTACAACAAAATTTTGGTTGGTTTCTCGCTGAATGTGTCATCAACAATTTATGCCAAAAATTGCTGCATCAATAATTCTCGCGCTACGTGATTCTCGTCACGCAAGAAAAGAGACGCGACTGGTAACTTACTTTTGAGTGGTACAGTATGTGTGTCCTTGGTCCGCGCAAGTCCGCAATGCCGTTGGTCCACGACTTTTCCGAAAATGATAAAATATTTCGTCAAGAAAAAAAATACGTTAAATAATGAAAGATATCGTGAGTTACTGATTACCATTCTTTCATATTCAGCTTTCTTGCTGCAGGTGAAGATGCGAAATTAAAGTTTGTTGACAGGTAGGTTAATTTGTCTACCTTGAAGTTTGGATTTTTGCAGCACCGTAAATTACGTGGTCATGTTTACTTAGCCTGCGAATAATAATAGCGCAACGGGAAGACTTGCCTTTTTGCAGAACAGGTTTCCAGATCAACTTATTTCTGCTGTTGAAAGCATATTGCTGTAGACTCTGAATTTTTTGTTTTAGCGACTCTTGAAAAATATCGCCAAATTTCGCTTAGGGGTCCTTGATCCGCGACCTATGACCTTGGTTGAATAAAACTTCCCAAAGTAAAAAGAGACCACCTTTGTTTTTGAAGAATGTTTTGAAAATCATCCCTATACATGTCGACAAGTTCTCTTTTTTCAATACCTTGAATACATATAGAGTTTTTGGTAATTATTATCGACCTTGCTAAAAACCGCTTGTCAACGCTCATGTGGGAGACTAGAGGAGACTGTTGTCTGAAGTCTTTGAAAGAAAAGCCGATTATTTTATACTCACAACATCTTCCGAAAAAACTTTAACTTAATTGCATCAAGAAAAAAAAAAATTCGAGAAATACTGTGAAAATCACGTTTTCGTGTGGAAACTATAACATTTTTACGTTTTTATCGTGCTGCTTACCTGAGACTCGGACCAAGGACCAGATTCCCGGACCAAGGACCATCGAAAACGGTCGCCTTTTTGCGAATTCCAAGCAAAACATTTATGTCTGGAACTTGAAGCTTCAGGATTATCGACAGGAATATAAAAGCTATCTTCTGGGAGTATTTCAGCTCGTTACGTGAAGATTCGGGTAAGATATTCAAGTTAATGACTTTTACACGCGAACGAAGGACCACATACTGTACTGTAAATTTGTTGTCTTTCTGATCGCCCTCCACTTTTTAGTAAGCGTTCGACTTACATTGCCGTACTTTCCTCAACCACAAATTATTATACAAATCCTTTTCATATTTTGATGGCATGTCGATCAAAATGTATCTTACCCTACAAAGTAACGTAATATGCTTGAAAGCATAAAATATAAAACCATCTTACTAATGTGAACTCTTTTATACATGGAAAATTTGCTCAAAGGAAGCCCGAGGTCACGCAGTTTATAAATGAGCGTCTATTCTTTGGTCTAGTTCATTTCAAGTCATCAGTGTGTTCGTGATCAGTACCGAATCAGCATTTCACTATCACAACTAACGTACCCATTATGTATGTAAGACTGCCTTACCTTTAGTAACAAGACCTTGAAGTTTTAATCAAATAACACGAGGGAAAATAAGATGAAACCAAGAGCTGAAGGATTCACAAATGAAATGATGCGATGGCCGCCATCTTGATTTCACATTGTGAGAGAAATCTGGGGAGTGTTCAAAAACCCGTGGGGACTGGGGACCCAAAGCTGCTTTGTTTGCTTGTTTTAGCAGACAAAACTCCAACTGCAATGTCAATGAGATCAAAGCTATAGATGTTCCAATTCGGTTGGCAGATTTTATATAAACCACTTTTTAAGGTGGTTTATATATGGTTTATATAACGTATTAAAATACTTTTAACTACAATGCATTTCGCCTCCCCCACATATGTTCTTTAGGGACTTTTAGGGCCTGTTTACATGGAGTGGGGGACCCCGGTCTAGCTGGTGGGGTTGGTTTCTTTTGTTTTCACGCTCTGGGGGACACAAAGCAAAAGAAACCTATCCCACTTGACCGGGGTCCCCCACTCCATGTAAACAGGGTCTTAATAATAACAGGTTATAACAACCCTTGACAAAATGATTTTATTAGCGGTAAAACTGTACGAGGCTTGATGTTTTAAGTACCCAGTTCAAACAGGCTTATAATTTTCCATTCAGATTTATTTACGGACAACCAGTGACAAAAAGCCGTATTTCAGAAATGTATAAAAAGTAGGGATAAAAAATTCCTAACAGAGAAGGGAAATTTGCTTGCTGACCACCGTGGAAACGCTGTTTCCAACTTTTTCAAATCAATTTTCATAGTGAAGCAAGCTGTTTTGTTATTTTCAGGTATAAATGGTCATAAATGCACAAAGACCCAAGGTACTTTTCAGTCAGGTCTTTGAAAAAGCGAACTGCAACGCTTTTAAAAATAGTATTGTAAAACGGCAAGAGCCATAATAGGACAGGTCCTATAATGATCTCTTGAAAACGGTTAATTGTTAACTACTAGAATACAACTGGGAAGCAAACTCTTCTGGTTAATAGTAGAACCTTCACTTCTTTCGTGAGGAAACACTTGTCTTCCATAAGGCTTTGTAACAAAACTTAGAATTATATTATCTTTGTTATACTACTACATGAGAAATTTCTGGAATTTGATTGGCTTAGACCAGTGGTATTTCAGTTTAATTTGAACATAGTCTCTCTGTTGGAGAGACTATGGTGAAAATTACAAAACTATTGCGGGTAGTAGTATAAACAAATATAGCATGATTTGTATGTGACATTTGGCATAAATGCCACTCGTGATATCTCAAAATTGTCTCAAATTTCACTTGCCTAACGACTCGTGAAATTACGTATAACAATTTCGAAATATCATCCGTGGTATTTATGCCAAATATCACTAAAATAAAAACAAATCATGCTATTACCTATACAAATACTGACCTATTTTTAGGATGAAACAAAGTAAATCACCTCTGAAATAAACATAAACACTGCTCCCAAAGAAAAATAGAAGGTGCACTTCTATTTTCTTCTGTTATCCATGGTTCAGCTGAGCTGTTTGCAAGAGGGAAAAACTAAAATGGCGTGATGGTGGCGCGATTTGTTTCTCTCTTTCTTGTGCGTGCCACTTTCCGAGAAACTTCCAAGAAAATGGACATCAAAAACTGTCAATTTCATTGTAAAAAAAAAACAAACCGAAACAAAACGAGAACAACTTTTCATAGAAATGACATCACAATGTTCAAAACCTTGCAGTGAAACTTCTCGTCACGGCTGGTGGCTCCATTAGCGTTTTGAACACCTTGACGTCATTCTCATGATCGATAACTTTAAGAGTACAGACCATACAAAAATTGCCAATTTGTTAAATTAAATACCAATGGAAATTCTCCAAAGGCATGTAGTTATGACTTCTCGCTTGATGAATCATGGATTAAGATTTCTTAAGGAATTCGTCCATATGCTACAGTGCTGTTTTTATTGTCAATGTTCTCACAGCTGTGATTTCAGAAACTCTTCAGTTATTATATCAATTACCGTAAATGGTATGAAGAAGACAAACCACTTATAATCCGCTGTAAGTGAGGCTAAAACCTGGGTTTTTTTCTTGATAACTAACACATAAGCTGTTCTTTCATCGTTCATACATATAGTACCTGATCAACGTAAGCATGAAATGAATCACAGGTATGAAAGTAACAAGCTAAATAAACAAAACCAAAAGTTTACAGTTGAAACCACAAAATGTTGTCAAAGAACCGAGGGAAACCAAAAGTAGAAAAACTTACAAGAACTGAAACGCATTTTAACTTGATGAATCGTCTTCACAAACATAGGTCATATGATGTTCATAGTGTTGAAGAAGAAGAGCCTCGCTACTCATTTCCTCTTGACAAATCCAGCAGCAGTGTTTCTCAGTGATAACTGATTGCGGGTCTGCTACGCCACTGTTTCCAGTCTCTCTGTGTGTTCGCAGGTTGTTTGTAGAGCCTGTGGCCCTAAAGTCAACGTTTTTTCCTCCTGTTCTCTTCCGTTTACATGATTCCAAACCTTTAGACAGACTTTTGTTGTTCTTGGAAAATTCACACGACTTTAATAGAGTGTGGATTCTTTCATGCTTCCTCAGGTTAGCTAGTTGGCTAAAACACTTGCTACAGTGTTTACATTCGTAAGGCTTTTCCCCAGTGTGAACTCTTTCATGAGTCCTTAGGTTTCCTGCTACACTAAAGCACTTGCCACACTGTTTACATTCATAAGGCTTTTCCCCAGTGTGAACTCTTTTATGTCCGGTAAGGTGTCCTGCTTGACTAAAACACTTGCCACACTGCTTACATTCGTAAGGCTTTTTCCCAGTGTGAACTCTTTCATGAATCCTTAGGCGTTCTGCGAGTCTAAAACACTTCCCACACTGCTTACATTCGTAAGGCTTTTCCCCACTGTGAACTCTTTCATGACGCCTTAGTAGGTATGAACTGCTAAAACACTTTCCACACTGTTTACATTCATAAGGCTTTTCCCCAGTGTGAACTCTTTCATGAATCCTTAGGTTTCCTACTTCATTAAAACACTTGCCACACTGTTTGCACTCATAAGGCTTTTCCCCAGAGTGAAGTCTTCCATGAATCTTTAGGCTCCCTGTGTGACTAAAACATTTGCCACACTGTTTACATTCATAAGGCTTTTCCCCAGTGTGAACTCTTTCATGACCCCTTAGGTGTCCTACTTCATTAAAACACTTGCCACACTGTTTGCACTCATAAGGCTTTTCCCCACTGTGAAGTCTTCCATGAGTCTTTAGGCTCCCTGTCTGACTAAAACATTTGCCACACTGTTTACATTCATAAGGCTTTTCCCCAGTATGAACTCTTCCATGAATCTTTAGGCTTCTTGCTTGACTAAAACATTTGCCACACTCTTTACATTCATAAGGCTTTTGTCCAGTGTGAACTCTTTCATGTTTCCTTAGGTTTCCTACTTCATTAAAACACTTGCCACACCGTTTGCACTCATGAGGCTTTTCCCCAGTGTGAAGTCTTCCATGAATCTTTAGGGTTCCCGGTTGACTAAAACATTTGCCACACTGTTTACATTCATAAGGCTTATCCCCTGTGTGAACTCTTTCATGACTCCTTAGGTCTCCTGCTTGACTAAAACACTTGTCACACTGTTTACACTTGTAAGGCTTTTCCCCAGTGTGAACTCTTTCATGATGCCTTAGGTTTCCTGCTTGAGTAAAACACTTGCCACACTGTTTACATTCAAAAGGCTTTTCCCCAGTATGAACTCTCTTATGACAAGTTAAGTGTCCTGCTACGCTAAAGCACTTGCCACACTCTCTACATTCAAAAGGCTTTTCCCCAGTGTGAACTCTTTCATGATTCCTTAGGTTTCCTGCTTGACTAAAACACTTGCCACACTGTTTACATTCGAAAGGCTTTTCCCCAGTGTGGGCTCTTTCATGAGTCCTTAGGTGTCCTGCTCGGCTAAAATGCTTGCCGTACTGCTGACACTCAAAGGACATTGAGCTTGTGTTATGGTTAGGGCTGACTTTGTATTCAGATCTGGGAGTCCCCTGTTGTTTGTAAAATAACATACACTTAGAAATAATTATTGCTAATAAAGACTCATTATACTCCCTTGGGTTTTTGATTTCAAGAAAGCTTGAGGTTGGTTGGGTGGGGGGATATACCGAGAGGGGGGTTACATCTTAATGTAGCGAAACCCATCACCAATAGCAGAAGAAAGAAACAGACTAGTGTCACAGTTCCAACTTCCTGTTTGGACCAGGAAACAACCAACCAACCAGGAGATGGAATTAATTTTTTTTTTATAACAAATTAAAATGTAAAGTAGAAATGTTCGTACAAATGAGGTGGGATGTCATGCCACTGAAGAATAAATCAAATCTGAACTTCCAGCACTTGAATAAACCATACTGAATGACTCCACATAAAGTATTATAGTCATGATCAATAAATACAGTCAATCACTTTTTAATTTTGTGTGAAGAATAAAGTGGGGCTGGAGAGGAGGGATGATAACTTTCTCTAATTATGGTATTTGGGCACCTCTACAGAGGACAGAGAGTCTGGCTTGGTCATACCCTATTCCATGGTGATCTTGTCCCATTAGCTATTGAGGGAAGAAAGGGCACCTGGAAGAACTGGAGTGGGAATTATGCTGGATAGAGTAAAGGATCGTGGCCCTTATTTAGTGGTCAAAAGGCCGCCTTAGATCGAGAACTATACGGAAGGACCTGCCTGTGGGCAGGAAACACACACACACACACACACGAGGCAGACCTCTCTCAGAAAAGTGAAGGGGCCTGGCTGTAGTTAATTTCTGCAATTCCAGCAACAAGTAGACTGTTCACAGTCCTCTATTTTTCTGTAAGATCATCGAGATCGAGCACTTTGCGTTACAGGCTGCCATCTTGTACGAGTGTCAAAACTACTTAGGGGGCGGGATCGGTTTGGGAGGAAGCGAGAAAAATAGAGGGACTGTAATAACATCACTGCAGCTCGCATTCAGGAGGCGTGAAAGAAGTTTCACGCCTTTTACCATTAATCAATTGAGAAACTCCGCTGGTGATGAAAAACATGCCAGACACATTTAGCATCCGTTATGAGTGTTTACAAATATCTCCTTTCAAAACAGTGATTTTATAATGTTTCCGGGCCATTCCTCGAAATAAAATCGGCAAACATATGGAAGCGTCAACTCGTCAGTGTCGGCAACTTAAACTAAACCCGTTGTTCAACGCAAATTAACATCTATTGTCTAATGACCAATCAAACGCCTGCGTTGGTGGTACAACACGCTCCGTGAATGCGAGCTGCAGTCCCTTTATTTTTCTCCCCCCCCTTCCCCCAGAGCTATAATCCGCGACACCCGCCCCCTCGGTACATTTGAAAATCAAGATAGCCGTGATGGTAAGACGCAGTATATCTAAACAATCCGACGAAAAAATAGGGGACTGTGAACAGTCTAAGCAACAAGAAAGGAACCTCGTTAATAAGGACTCCAAAGAAACATACATAGGTTTCTCTATAATCAGGGGGTGTGTATTACGCAGACTCCCATCATAATAAACAGTGAAACCCATATTTAGCAGAACACCCTATACTAGCAGGATCATTATGACAATTACTGCACTTCAGATCTGAGGCACCTTTGAAACTATTGTACACTAACTACTATAACCATACAACATATGCATTGTACACAAACTGACTATCTCTTTATCGTGACTGCATGCAAATGTCAGGGACAAACACAGACTGGAGGACAGAGAGAGAGCAGTGACTGCCAAACTGCTTAAGTTTTTGTTATCCTGAAAACCTATCCCTCTTTTTTTTTGAATTATTTCAGTTCAACGAGCTTCGCTGTTGCCCTGAAAGTATCTTTTAGTGCAAGAAGAAGAATTTTTTGTTCATGGAAAGTGTCCAAATTTCTCCATGCGGCTTCATTTGCGAATGCGAGGAAATTTAATGTTAGCGAATTTCAGGTTAAAAATTAGGGCAGTCTGAGACAGCTCCCATATCGAAAACCGATCATCTAATTTTTCTCACAAACAAAAAGCTTTTGGCAGGAACAATCTACTTAGGTTTCTTATCTACCTAAAGCTATCCATGAACAAAAAATGAAAGAAATTGATTTTTCAACTCTTGCCACGAAATTAAGATTTTGGACGATTTTTCCTGACAGTCGCTCTTAAAGGAAGCCCGAGGTCACGCAGTTTATAAATGTCTGTCTAGTCTCTGGTCTACAGTTCATTACAAGTCGTCAGTGTGTTCGTGATCAGTACCGAATCAGCATTTCACTATCACAACTAACGTACCCACTAAAGAGTGGGCTTCGAAATTAGCAGACAGCGACAAGGGCTCCTACTACGATAAAGAAAAATGGCTAAAAGATGACAAAGCTCTTGAAAAACCCATTGAAACTACCGTGGAATCGAGTTTCATGAGTTCGTTGGCGAGCGGGGCCAGCTTTTTAGGCTGCAAAGCAGCCAAGCGAGAGACGACGTCACGAGAGGTCCCGCACCATATAAAAATTGGACAAAGTACTGTTTTGAAAGTCTATTGTAGCTGGAAAAAGGCTTCAAGAAAAACTCCAGAAAGCAGTTTGTTGTCAATTTTTCCAGGGAAGAGTCGAACTTTTAAAAAATGTATCGATTAAAAGTTGGCTTAGCTCACCTTGGCTTGTCTGTTGCGAAAATGAAAACGGCCCATTGCAAATAACTAATAAAGCTTTCTCGACACCAGAAAGGATTGAACAGAGCAGAGCCTTTGAAATAAATTGTTCATCTGTTGTTGGGTTTCGTTTTCAACTTTTCCTGCTGTGTCACTATTGTTGTCCCTTCTCTGGTATGCATCAACATTGACAGCTTTGGGGTTATAATAGAGACCTTAAGATACCCCGATATTGGTGTACGGGTATGGGTAGTGTACCTGTACACGTAAAATGTTCATGTGCGTGACTATTTCGATTAAGATACCCGAAGAACAAACACGCAAAATTAACTTTGTACTTGCATGTCGCTTAATGCATACAAAATCTCCCTCAAATTCTACACTTCATATCTTAACAACAAGCTGCAACAAATAATTCATTCATACATAAGTTTATTGAGTAGTTTGTTATCGCAAACCCCGCCATTTGATCGAGGCACATCACCAAACAATTCCTTTGATTGTCAACTTCAACAGTGACTTCCATGCTAAATTTTTCAATGCTATTTCTTTTGCGAAACTCAAACGTTCGAGCAATTCTCAGAAATCCCCCCAAATACCGCCACAAATTGATATCGTTTCAGAGTTCAACCTGCGCATTTGAGGTCCAAAATCAATACATTTTGAAGCGCTTTCTTTACAGCTAAAATTCAAATTTGGCAAAAATATTTGAACAGACTTGCAATAACATTGCCAAGGAGTCATACAATTTACATTTGTACTTAAAAAGTCTTAAAAACTTACTCGTTTCTCCATCATGTAGGACTTGCAGCTACTCGTAAATCTTCTACGGGTAAACTGGTGTATACCACAGAAAAATGGCTGGTTCTACCAGGTAAGGTCGATGACGTCACCACAAAATGAAAAAAACATGGTGCTACCCGTTACCCGTACACCGATTTCGGGGTATCTTAAGGTCTCTATTCTGTTATAATCTCATCACGGGTAATATGCTGCCAAAAATCTTTTTCCACTGTTTTCTCGAAACGAAAATCAGGGCAAGTTGAGAGTACGTTTTAAACTCCAAGGCGACAACCCATGAACCAATTTGGCTGAAATTTGGCCAACTTACTATCAGAAAGTTATTCTAAAAAACTATGTCTGCGAATTTTGATTTCTTTTTTCGTTTTTGAGTTAGAGCATTTTTTTCACAGGTAGTGCTAATGATTTGCTATCCCTAACTTCACCTACTTATAACAACAAAACAAATGCACTACACAAAAAATCTGAGACACGGTTTTTCAGTCAAACATGTTAAGAAGCAAATGCGTTCTTAATTGGCTTCTTCCGTTAATTTATGGCTGGACTGGACTTACTTACTTACAGTGATACTCACTTTCACAAAAAGCTTCTCATTTCTAAATCACGTTAATATTTTGATTTTTTGAAAGAAATAAGCAATAATCTGGAACTATTAAGCTTTCAGAAAATGTGGATATTTGTTAAAAGCAAAAGCGCTAGCGTGGATCAACGCGGGGAGGGTGCTTCAGGGTGGATGATACCTTAACCCCTTATAAATAGAAAATACAATTCAGTGTACTGGTCTGGTAGAAATAGCCACTGGCTTTCATGTACTTTAAAAATTCACTGTGTCTAGATACCCGGCAGCTGGGAACTGTTTTCAAAAAACTAGATACACGGCAGTGAGAAATTTTGACCAATTTTCTCGGAATAGCTCATTTAATTCCTCTTAGAACACAAGATATTTGTTTACAAATCTCAAGTGATTGTAAAGATTGCCTTGGGTTAAAAGTAGAAGCGACTGTTGAGTTTGGGCATAGAGTGAAATCTTAATGTGTTTGACTATTAAGTAAAGTTCTCTCACACTGAGTCAACTCCCGATGAATATATCCATAGAAATTATCAACGAAACCTCACCAGAGTATTTAGTGTTTGTTCAGAAATGCCAAGCGATTCTAAATAAAGGTTTTGTATAATTTGTTGTAGACAAATTCTCCAAGCTTGTATTTAGCATATTCTTTAGAATCTTGACTCACGGGTACGGTTTTCAAAATACTAGATTCAAGGCAGTCGGAAATTCACTTCCAATCTGCACGAATTGTGTAATAACATCAGGTAGTTGTTAAGAAAAAACAAGTGATTTCAAACACTGCTTTGGGCTTGAAGTAAAGGCAACTGTCAAGCCTGGGCATATAGTGAAATCTTTATTAGTTTAGACACAGTGTAGTATTTGCGTCACGCAACTGAAGTGCTACACTGGAGGTTGAAGGGCACTCTTCTGCCGAGTCCTCAGACTTAAGGTTCTGTGTAACTCTCAGAGGAACAT